CTGTCTCAAATAAATAAATATGATCTTTTTAAAACAAGAAAAATGTGGTTCCCTCTTATGGTGGAGGGGCCCCTTTGTCCCTGCCTGCCTTTCTTCCACCTACCCTTTATCACTAGTATTTATAAGGCTATACTAATATTAAATATAACTGGATAGTAGGAAGAATTTAGACAGATTACTAACCTTAATGTTTGAAAGTTCTGTTCTTTGTGAAGTGGGGAAGAAAAAGTTATGCTTCCTTCAGTTTATAGTTTATTTTTAGAATATTTTAAAAAATATTAATATTACTTCCTATTACTTGTATCATTACAAGTTATTGTAAAAGAAAGAAGACTAAATAGTGTGGCAATAAAGACAGAGTTTAGAATATCAACCTTAGCCATTATTGGCTGAGAGTTCTTAGACAAGACACTTCTTTTTACGGTTTCTACTACTGTTACACTAGTCTATTAAAACCTACCTAAGAAGTAGAGAGCAACCCACTTAGGAACAGCAATCTGGTTGAAAGGTAGCCTAGATTTGTTTTGAACCTATGTTTGCATAGCAAGCGCAGTGTTTTTACCTACCTGTATGATACAGTTAAGTAAAAATAGAGCAAAAATTAAACAATTTCTAAAGGTAATTTTCACTGTAACTTGATACTTATTTACTTTGATTGATATTTACTTACTGGAAAGAAGGTACAAAGCCTTTCAAACACACATTAGTATTGACCCTACTTTGAAGGCTAAACATAATTGGAAGTATGCAGTACTTATGGGTGGCTCAGTTGGTTAAGCGGCGGTCTTTGGCACCGGTCAAGATCCTAGGGTCCTGGAATGGAGACCTGAGCCCTGCATCAGGATCCCTGCTTCAGAAGGAGAGTACTTCTCCCTCTCCCTCTCTCTCTCCCCCAAATCCTCCACTCCCCCCACCACACTCAGCTTGTTTCTTTCTCTCAAAAAATGAAGTAACTCAAGCAGAGAGAGTCAATTATCATATGGTTTCGCTTATTTGTGGAGCATAAAAAATAACACAGAGGACATGGGGAGATTGAGAGGAGAAGGGAGTTGAGAGAAATTGGAGGGGGGAGATGAACCATGAGAGACTCTGGACTCTGAAAAACAATCTGAGGGTTTTGAAGGTGTGGGGGGTGGGGGGGTGGGGGAGCCTTGGTGGTGGGTATTATGGAGGGCACGGATTGCATGGCGCACTGGGTGTGGTGCATAAACAATGAATTGTTATACTGAAAAGAAATTAAATAAATTTTAAAAATAATAAAAAAATGAATAAAATATTTTTTAAATCAATCTTTTAAAAAGTGGCTACTTTATAAGAAGTTCAAAAAAATATCTGAGTTCAGTTTTATCTTCTCCTTGGACTGCAGGATTTTGAAATGATTTATATCTAATACATTCTTTGAAACTTCTCTAGCATACAGTACAGCTATTTGTACATTGGGTTTTTACCAGCTTGAACCTAAATTGCACTGGTAATAATAACAAAGATCTTGATGTTCTCATGGGACTTTAATTTCCTAAGACACCAGGATGAGGAGGAGAAGGAGTGGGTTCAATCATCTGACAATATATAAGCATACCCTAAACAGGAAAAACAAGATTCATCTTTTTTTTTTTTTTTAAAGATTTTATTTATTTATTTGACAGAGAGAGATCATAAGTAGACAGAGAGGCAGGCAGAGAGAGAGAGGGAAGCAGGCTCCCCGCTGAGCAGAGAGCCCGATGCGGGACTCGATCCCAGGACCCCGAGATCATGACCTGAGCCGAAGGCAGCGGCTCAACCCACTGAGCCACCCAGGCGCCCACAAGATTCATCTTTTAAAGGCTCATTTGAACAACAGGATCACCAAGTTTGTGTATGTATAGTTACTTTAGGTGTTTTACAACTTCTGAGGGTCCAGAGAACCATTCTCCCTTCTTTGAAAAGACAGCCTTATATCAGTTTTCAATTACCAAAAAAATAAATATGCCAGGCTTCTCAGTGGTTCAGTAAAATTAAGGTCATTTACCTGGGTTAAGTCTGTGATTTAAAAGCAGTAAAAATAGGTAGTCTCAGTGAGCCAAGGTTTTTGGTAAGCATTTTACAGTTGGTATCTCATGTAACCTTTACAGTTTTATCAAATAGATCTAAATGAAGGCAGAGAGGCCAGTTAAGAGGGTGTGACAATATTACACAAGCATGGCTGCATCCTGGAGTAGGATGGTGGCAGTGGAGAAAGCAGAACTTGACACTGAGGAGGTACTGGTCTTGGTGAGTGCCTAAAACACTGACTGGCAGATGCTTGAGAAATATCTGTAAAGGAATGAATTATGGAGAGTGAAGGTGAGGTAAAAGGATGACTCCTGGGTTATAGGGATTGGAATGTAGTGCCATTCACTAAAATAGGGAAAAGGAAGAAAACTTGGTTAAAGGAGGTATCTCTCTCACATTCCTATTAACTAGCTCTCCCAACCTAATTGTTTTGAGGGTGGTTTTTGAACCAAATAACTTGTTCCTCCAGGAGAGATGGGGACCCTATTCAAGGGAAATAATCCATAGGAAGATGGATAATGATTTGGCTACAAAAAATAAATTGAGCCAATCCATCTTTCTTCCCTGGTTTTGAACTAAGAAGCAGAGGCCAAATGACTTAACATAATGGAGTTTCAGCCAAGGCAAATTAGGTCAAAGTCCCATCGAAAACTGGACAGGAGCACCTGGCTGTCTGTCCGTGGGGTATGTGACTCTTGATCTCAGGGTTGTAGGTATGAGTCTCACAATGGGTGTAGAGATTGTTTAAAAATAAAAGCTTAAAAAATCGAATGGAAAGCTTAAACTGCATAATTTTTAGAATAGAGTTAATAAATATTGACTTACAGAGGTGCAGCCCAAGAGTCAGGGAAACCAGCAAGAGATAATGCAATATCCCAAGGACTAGCAGTTATTACTAGGCTGGAAGGGACAAAGGGAAGAACTGGAGAGATTAACTGAAAGGAGGTTCTGCAATTAATCCTGGGTGAACATGGAATTCATGAGCTTGGGGAATATGGACTTCGACCTCACTATCTTCTGTCCTTCTATCTCTTGTGGATACTTCTTGCCTGAACCCACTGAGATACCAAGAACTATGAGAGAATCCGTCGGTGCAATCTGGACAGGTCCGCTCTGGCTGGCACAAGGACAGGAAAAGGGTGGAGAGGCAAATAGAAGATAGGTGAAGTTGTTTCCAAGAGGCAGTTATGCGGAAATAGGAGTTATTAATATGTATTTAAAAGAGAGACAACAAATTGCCAACTCCCTTCACTGACATTAGTGGTACTGCATTACAGTGATGATCCCCAAATATCAACTATTAAATTCTTTTTTTTTTTTAAGATTTCTTGTATTAGAGAGAGAGAGAGAGAGAGAGAGAGAGAGAGAGCGCGCCTGCGTGCAGCAGAGGGAGAGGGAGAAGTAGGCAACCTGCTGAGCAGGGAGCCTGATTGGATTCCGGGCTGGATCCCAGGACTTTGAGCCAAAGGCAGACACTTAACCAACTGAGCCACCCAGATATCCCCCAACTGTTGAATTCTTTAGAGACCTTTTGGGTACACATTTACCCTCCAGTTCTCCTCTTCCTGCAAACACAACCTATTTCCGAAAAGGTCCTCTGTGTTTCTTCAATAAAGCACCTTTACAATTCTTCGTTTCAAAACAAAACAAAACAAAACAAAACAGTAAGCAACAAACAAAACCACCAACTACGGTTAGGTAGCCCATATGAATCAAACTTTGGAAATCCATTCCATAACCTTTTCTTCAACAGAGTCAGCCTTGGGCGCCTGGGTAGCTCAGATGGTTAAGCGTCTGCCTCTGGCTCAGGTCATGATCCTGGAGTCCTGCGATGGAGTCCCACATCGAACTCCCTGATCAGGTAGGGGGGCCTGCTTCTTCCTCTGCCTCTCTCTCTCTCTCTCCCTCTGTCCCTCATAAATAAATAAATAATATCTTTTTAAAAAATCAGTCTTTAATTCACCTGTATTTAAATAGATGGTAAAGAGATGCCTGGCTGTCTCAGTCAATTAAGGAGCTGCCTTCAGCTCAGGTCATGATCCCAGGGTCCTGAGATAGAGTCCCAAGTCGGGAATCCTTGCTCAGCCGGCAGCCTGCTGAGCTCCTGTAAACAAAAACCAGCATTACTTGGCAGGACTCCAAAAGGCTCATTGTAGCAGGAAGAGCAGCTAGTTGATAAGTTAACAAAACAAAGCTTTACCCAGAGGAGGCTAGTAAAGATGGCGCCTCCTTGAGAATATAGGTAAGTACAATACTTATTTAACTGGTAAGGTGTTCTGAAAGTTCCTTAGGGTCAGATGAATTGGAAACCAGTGATATGGAGAACAAGAAAGGTCTTATTTACAAGTCGTGTATGAGTAGCTTACTAACCTTAGGGAATTAAAAAATTATGCCTAGTACAACTTCTGAGTAAATAGAAACATTAATCTCAAGTTTAATGTGACTGAAGTGAGATCCCTGGGAGAAGAGTCCTGTATAAGCTCTCTGCCTAGTTTGGAAGCCCTAAATGAGGCCAGGAAGGATCCACTGCCAAGTGCATACAAATGGTGAACACATTTATTTTCTGATGGGTGTCCCTTGATGAAAAAAATTTTCACTGGGTCAAACCCATTTTAAGCGACCTTGCATAAGAACATAAACATTTAGTAACTTATAAATCCACGCCCATGAAATCAATATTATCACTCACTGAATTTCAGAGCCAAATGTTAAGCTCCTACTGGAGTTAAAACATATTTGTACCTTTTAAACATATCCATTCCAGGAAAAAATATTAGGAAACATGGTTAATTTGTAAACAGGTGTTATCTCTACAAATTAAAGGAAGATGTAACAACAAGTCGGCGAAATATTAACCATTTGTTTTACTCAAAAGCACTTTAAAAATATTTCGGTTCGAAGGTAGAAATGAAGGAGGGAAATACACTAAACCAATTGCCTGGGCAAAGGTTTCATAAACAGTTACCTACAAATTACACAATTTCCATTCTGGATGTGGCTCAGGACTACAAATGATCGAGGTGCCCCAAAATCTCAGGTGGAAACTTTTTCACCCGGCGAAGCAACTGACACAGAGGACAAAACGGCCCCGTCCGGGACGGAAGCTCTTAGCGAAGCGGCCCAAGGTTGTCGGCAGAGACCACCCCTTCTGGAGTCAATTTCGCGTCCTGGCCTGGGGCAAAGCGACCGCCCCCGCCCGTCCTGCCCTACTTGTGTAGGCCGCCCCGCCCCTCGCCCGCACCGGGCAGGGCAGAGCGCCACTGCGCTGCGAGTCACAGAGGCCCCGTGAGCGCCCCGCCCCTGCTTGCCGCAGTCAGGCTGCGGTAGCCCGGGAGCCGCGGAATCGTCCAATTCTTCCTCCCTCCCCCTCGGCTGGCCGCTGGGGCGGGGCTGGCCCTTAGGCCGGGCGGCACCCGGACGGGCTAGTCAGTCAACCACCGCAGGCGGCGGCCTGGCGAGGGCAAGAGCGGGTGAGTAGCCACGTCACGCTCCTTCGCGAGGCCCCGCCCCCGCTCTGTCTTCTGGGACCGCCCCTTCCACGGCCCCGCCTCCGCCCCCACGAGCAGTTACCGGCTCTAGGGGCACGCGGCTCCTTGACTCCGCTAGAGGTCCTCCAGCCCTTACTCGTAGCGCCTCCGCGGCTGCCCGCGCCAGGTGAGGGCTCGCGGCTCCCGGCTGCGGCGCCCGGCTGCGGCTTCCCTCTGCGGCGCCCGGCGCTTGTTGGCTGGCTCTGGGCGTGCGCCTGTGAGGCCGGCTGGGCCGGCGGGCGGTTAGCGCTCCGTTCCACGCGGGGAGGGGCGGCACGCCGGGCGCTGCACGGCGTCGGCCGACGCGGGCGGCGGTGGCGGCGGCGGCGGCCGGGCTTTCGGGTTTTCTGTCCCAGGCCGGAGCCAGTCGGTTCCCCGGCGGAGAGACGGGCAGTCGGGCTCCCTGGCCCCGGGCCCCCCCCGGCGGGGGCGGCTGGGGCAAGGGGACGATGTCTACTCGCGCCGCGGTGCCTGCCGCTCACTCTCGGGAGGAGCCACCCGCGGTGGCTGCTGAGGAGTCGCTGTTGGTAACGGCGAGTCGGCAGGCCGAGCGGCTGTCCCCGCCCGAACGGGAGGGCAAGGAGGCGGCGAGTGAAGAGAGGGCCGCGACAGCCATCATCGCGGGTGCGCGAGGAGAGCCGTCGCCAGCGCTGGTGCTAGGGCACAGCGTGCCCCAGGCGGCCGTGCCGGTGAGACCCCTGGCGCTGCACCTGGCGCACAAGGCGCGCGGGCCCGGGGGTCCCTTTGGCGGGGAACCCCCGCCACCCCTGCCGAGGGACCCGCCGGCCGAGGACGCCCTGGTGGATGAGGCGGCGACTGGCCCCGAGGAAAAGCTGCAGCCGCCGCCGCCTAAGGAGAACCCCTGGACCAAAAAGCCTCTCCAGCACCTGTCCCCTGCTGGGACGGGACTGACACCTTACCCACTGGAAACTCTCGAGGCAGGTCTGTGGTTTTTGCGGTGGGCAGTGGGAGGGTGTGCAGGGGTGATTCGTTTGGCTGTAGAGGCTGTCGTGGGACTGGGGGAGGGGCAGGCTTCCTTTCCCTGACAGTCGGAGGTATTTTGTTCCAAGGTGTCATTCACTCTGCCTATTTACATAAATGGACATCTGGGAAGGGAGCGGCAGGAAGAGGTGGGACCTCGGGTTCTCCTTGGCTGGTGGGGGCACTGCGGGAGTAACCTAGCGGAGCCGCTCGGCTGGCGCGGCCTTTACTGAGATATGCCCCCCCACCCCGCCAAACGTGGTAGTGACTTGGGAAAGCTAACTTTAGGTAGATAGTGCTGTTCGTTCTATAGAAGGTTTTTGTGGATTTGTAAGAAAAAACGCGGGGGGTGGTGAAGCAAGTTGGAGCAAGGGGATTTATTCATAAGTGGAAGCGCGATTGTAATTTTTTTCGTTTTGAAGTAATTGACAAACTGAAAATCTGTTTTGTAAACAAAGTCATATTAAAAATGCAACTGTACAATAGTTGCTAATAAAATGCTTGGAATTATGATTGTGGTGGAAAATAATTAAACAGGAAAGTTGACAGGAGAGTGAATTGCACATTAGGTAAGTGATAGTCTTAACATTAGGTTAGCCATCCTCTTTAGAGGAGGTTAGATTATGCCACAGCATTTGAAAGCTGACCTATACAGTATGACCCTGGGTGCTTTATTTTGGTTGTAGTTTTTGTTTTTGTTTTAAGTTTAAATGGAAATACTAAATAACAAGAAGTAGTATCTCCTAGTCTTATTTTCTAAATTAAGCTTTAGTAAGTTAATTGAACTTTTTAATAGAAATTACAGCTGCTTCCTTGCATATCTTCACTTTCTCTTAAAATTAAAGGTTACCAGGAAAATGGGGAAGATATGAGCATGTTTACAGGGTTATGAGGATCAAGTGATTTAAAGAATGTGGTGTAACTGTAAGGTGATTGGTATAAATACATTATATTGCAGGTATATTAACATTTCTTTAAAGGAACTCCAATAGAGTGAAACAAGTGTTAATTGATTTCTTTAGTTTTTACATGGTAATACTCATTATTTTTGATAAATTTTGACACTTGCAGAAAAAATTACTTAGAAATTTGCTCTAAATTTAATATTACCATCATTCTCTTCTAGCTACAAAGATTTGTTTACTACTGTCACTAACTGAAGGACGAATTTATCTCCATAAATTTAGCAAAGAAAAGGAAAGCCCTTAATGAACCTTAATGGTCTGTCCAACCTCCCTACTTGTAGATTTACACACAATTATAATTTATATTCCGTGAACTACCGAAAAAATGAACTGTCTTTTGATTGTAAAGTTGACAGGTTTTCAGACTTTCAAGGTAAGACTCAGGAATCTTAATTGGAAATGTCCTTTTGAAAAGTATTTAACAGTTCAATTAACCTCAGGTGCCTTCCCTGGGGATCTTAATCTTTGTTGGAGGTTAAGAACAAGGTAATACTTGAGCTATGTTGTGGTTCATGGGAGTTTGGATTTTGTTGATGTCTCTCTGTACGCAATTCTTTCTATTTGTGGAACCCATTCTGTGCTTAGTCAAATACTATTCTTCACTACTTGGAGTAGTGTAGTAACTTCTAAACTCTCCATAGTATTGACTGTTCTACCACAACTTCTATCCGTAGTTGGGTAATTTAGAGATAATGGTGTAGAAATGCAGTGTTCTTAGAGACTTAGGTTCTAGTGCAGATATTGTTACTAACTAGCTAGTTGACTTATGGCAATTTTTCTGGGCCTTGTAAATGAATGAAATGGGTATATTCATCTCTTCAGGTCAATACCAGAGTGCCATCTGTAACCTGGGGTGCCCTGGCTTCCTGTTTTCCTAAGCAAATTTGCAACTTTAAGAACAATGAAATAGCAGAGGACCTTTAAGGTTCAGAGTAGGTGCAAACCAGTGATAATCTATTAGTGGGGGGTGCGGAGGGGGCTGTGCAATTTATCCTACAAACCAGGATACTGTAGAGAGGCAAAGAGAAGGATATTAATTATGCTGGAATAAGAGACTTAAACCATGCTTGTCCTGGCCTTACCTGGATCTTCTGTCACTCTCTTAATGAGGTACAGAAATTCCATCCACAAAATTTTGCCAGAGAGTTTATTATCAGAGATGGAAACATAGAAAATGAAGGGAATTATTTTGGGACAGATAATCATGAATTTTCTCTGTTAGAATGTGCTGTTCTAATTGAATGGCAGGTGATCATTCTTGCTTCTTCAGCCTTTGTGAGACACTTCATACCACTTTTAGGATGGTTTTGGCTTGTCTATCGCTGTTTCTCTTAATCTAGATAAGGCCTTCATTTCAACCAAAGTCTGGCTCTTCCAAGAGGCCTAGGATAGTGTCACAGCATTTTTGAGTTCAGTCAGGAGACCAGAAAGGATTGTCCCCCAGTCTGTCCTAACCTTCTTTAAAATACATTTATTCGAGCTGTATTAACATCAGAGTATGGGATTTGCTAATTTCTTATTTGTATCTGTGGCTGTTTTCTGCATATCAAATATCAGCTTTCTAATATAATTTTGGTTCTTTTACTCAATGAAAACGTGACATATAAAAATACTGATTTTTCCATCTTTTTCATCCTTAGTCTAATCTAACCTCATCAACTCTCCTTTTTCTTAATGTCTGTTTCCCAGAAACCTCAGTTAAGCTTATTATTACCCTAAAAACATTTTAAGTAAATTATATAAGTGATATATAAATACATTCTCCTTGTAAAAACAGAACTTTTGACGTCTCCTTCAAGAAAAGAGATAATCATGCTGCTTGTTTACTGAATATCCTTTCAGATGTTTCTTACTATAGTGTTTTGCATATGTGTTTAGAACATAATATCATCTTCCATTTTTCATTTAAAGTTGATTGACCCTTTTTATTTTTTCTCTTTACAATAAGTGAGTGAGGGGGCATCTGGCTGACACAGTCGGTAGATCTTGGGGTAGTGAGTTCAAGCCCCCCCCCCATTGAACATGGAGTCTACTTAAAAAATTACATAGTTCTTGTATATATGTCTGACTTTCTCTAGGATAGATGATGAGCATTGGAATTGTTAGGTCACACGGTATAGGTTAGTTGACAAGGTGCTCTCTAAAGTGACTGTACAAATTGATACTCCCACTTTTAGAGTACAAGAATTAAGTAGTTTTTTAGTGTTTTTTTAAAGCACTCACTGTAGCAAAGTGGCATTTTACTACATTTCTCCCTTAAATATAAAATTATGTGAAATGTTGGTAATTATCAGTGCATTTTCTTAATTAAAACTTTGCCAAAGATCATGGCCATAAAAATTAGACTGAGTAGAATTGACCTTGTGAAGTTGCATATCTCCGCGCCCCCCCCCCCCGCCCTCCGCAAAACCTACTTAAATGTCCCACACATTGGTATATTGTTTGTTAACAAGAGAAGAGAGTACTTAATTTGGAAGGGAACTATAAGGTGTCTGGTCTTATCCTACCTTTCTAGCTTTTTGTTTATGTTCCCTTCTGTGTACCCTGTGTTTTGGATAAATGTGTTAGGTGTTCCTGACTGTTAAGGTTTTGCTCATCATCCTTCCTTTTGTTTTAATTCTACTTATCCTTGAAAAACAAGTACAAATGCTGACTCTTGTATGTAGTCTTCTTGGCCTCTCTGAGCTGCTCCCCCTTAATAGTTTATAGCTCTCTTAATAGAAATTATCCCTAAGTGCCTTGTACTGGGATTACATATTCACATGTTTTATCTCATTGTTTTATTTTATAATGTTCTTTAAGGCAAAGTCTCTCTTCTTGATGTTTGTGTATTGCCCACAGCAATGACTTTCATTTAAATGGTACTCAATTTGTGAACTTTATTAATTGGAAAGACTTTTTAAAATTATGATTAAATGCAATCATGCTGCAATAGACATCTTTCTTGGGGGGTTAACCACAGAGTCAGTCTTTAAAGAACAGATTGTACTAGTGACTCGAAAATTTTAACATGTTTAGGAATCCACTATGGGTGTTCAAATGCAGATCTGATTCTGTAGGACTTGATATTCTGTATAATTAGTTAAGTTCCCAGATGATGTCAGTGATGCTGATTCATATATCACAGTTTGAATAACAAGGGATTTCAATCCTAATGATGCACAATAAATCACTGTTAACAATTAAGGATGTTGTATCTACCTCACTAGGTAATAGTGTGGCACTTTTTGTTTTCTGTGTCCAAGACCTTAAAATGGATTGTTTTTCTTATCAATTTAGAATTACAGATTTTAGTTTATAGATTCGCAGGGTCAAAGAATAACAGTTTAAGGTACTGGAATATTACTCAAAAAGTTGCAGTAATATAGTGTTTTACCAGTGATACTTAGAAAAACAGACATAAGAAGATCACACACTGTTCATGTGTATTTATATATATATTTGAAGCCACTAGCAGCCTTTTCTTATGTTTCACCTGCTTGAGAAAAAAAATTTATACATAATATATTTTAATTATTTTAATTTTCTAGACTGGCTTGCTTTTTTAGTCTTAAGTTTTCTCTAAAAACATGCAGAGCAATTTCATTCATTTTCGTTAAAATTACCTTTCCTAGGCATGTTTTACCTGTTTTCTCTATGTGTATATAAACTATTTTAAAAAAGCTGAAGTCAAAATGTCTTCCTAAATGTGCAAAGAAATAAATATTCCTTCCCAACTTATTTCTTCATTTTTTTCTAGAGATAATACTCAGTGTCTGAGTAGAGTATGGAACTGTATTTTTGTTTTTGTTTTAAAGATTTTATTTATTTATTTGACAGAGAGATCACAAGTAGGCAGAGAGGCAGGCAGAGGGAGTGGGGGAAGTAGGCTCCCTGCTGAGCAGAGACCCCTCCCCCCCATGTGGGGCTTGATCCCAGGACCCTGAGATCATGACCTGAGCTGAAGGCAGAGACTTAACCCACTGAGCCACCCAGGCACTCCCCCACCCACCCCCTGGTGTACTGGTCTTTAAATCAACAGATTATTAATTTTTTGTCATGTTCAGTTATCTTTAAAAAAATTTTGTTAATAACTTAATTGTGCCATTTAGTAATGAAGTTAAAAAGTTTATTTTTATGTGCTCAGAATAATTTTTATCTTTATTTTATGACCTTAATTTTGTGATTATTGATGTCTAATTGATTTGTAATAAAGCTAAATAAAACCTGCTTGTGTGCCCCTCTCCCTTATTATTTTCCATTACATCAAATATTTTGTATAAGGCTTTATTTTGTAACTACCAGACACCTACCTTGTTGGACATGTTCTCCACTTTGTTGTTCTCCAATGTTCTATATTGTATAACTTTGAAAAAACATACATAGTATATATAGAACATACTTCAGTCAAATTCTAGATAATGTTCAGGCAAATACTGTTCTTTATTAAATTAGATTTTTTCTTTTTTTTTCAAGATTTAATAACTTATCTTTATTTTTTTAATTTAATTTTCTTTTTCAGTGTTCCAAGATTCATTGTTTATGCACCACACCCAGTTTCCTGTCCCCATTTTTTTGTCCTGTTTACCCATATCTTTTAATCTAATTTTTCTTAATGAAATGTTTTATCCTTATGCATATTTATACATGTATACACATCCACATGTATACGTATACTTAAAAAAGAATAAAAGAAATACCTGTGTACTCGTTATTCTGCTTTAGGAATAAAATTACTATAATATTCAAGATTCTTTTATGTCCATCCCTGGTGACATCTTAATCCTTCATCTCTCTTCCTTTGATAAGTTCTCTATGTCTTTTTAAAATCTGCTTCTGAGTTTTAACTCAAAGATTACTTTATTCTGTGAATTGGTCATTGCCATGATTTTATGGGTTTATGTTTTGCTGGATTATTAGTTTTTCTGTAAATACAGATCCCAAGTTTATTCTGCTTTTCCATATTTACTTTAAATCATGTTTAGGTTGGTGATACACCATTTGGTCATCTTGCTAAGTAACGAACCAAACAAAAGACAATGTAAGGTTTCATTTAGAGAGTCAGTCTCTCTGTGTGTCTTTATCTATTTTTATTGTTAACTTACTCAAAGTGGGACAAGTGGGAATACCATGACAGGTACAAACTTCTATTTTTTTTTTTTTAATGACTTCATCTATGTACAACCTATTGTGGTTGTCAAACTTGTTTTCAAGGACAAATAGTTTAAAGTCTTCTGATTTATCTTCTGGATAGTCCTTGATGACATCAGTGTATGAATTATGTAGCAAAATGTATCCCTTTGGGAAGTGAGTTTCTAACTTTACTATATTAAAACATGTTACTATTTCTAATTTTTCATGTTGTATTCTGTCAGAGAAAGGATTGGTCTGTCAGTTTAAGTTAACTGATACTTCTAGGTATTGATTTGAGTACTGAAGACCAGTTTGAATCTATGTTGGAACTGTAGTTGTTTTCTTACTAGGAATTTGAGTTTCAGAACTTTGGATTCTGTTGGAAATGGTGAGGACACTGGCTTACTGAAATTGATACAATAGTTATTTTGTTAAATATATTGAATTAAGTGATTGTAAAACCAAATCTAAAAAAAAAACAAAACCCTAATTTTATTTATTATTTATTTATTTATTTATTTATTTATTTATTTATTTATTTATTTTGGTTTTTGTTCTGTTTTGTTTTTTAGAGCTCAGTTCCCCCAAAATTATAAAAGCAGGAAAACTCAAGACAAAGAAATCCAACAAGGTGTGTTTTTAGCTATATTCTTCTTAGCTATGTTGATTTTGAAAATTGGTGTGTTAGAAACTGTTAGATTATTGTGTACTTTTCTTCTAGTTGTATCATTGATGTTAGGTTAAAGTTAATATACTAGAGAACTGTAGCCTTTGTCCAAATCCTGCATGTATTAATTTATTCTATTATCTTATATAAATCAATTTAGTGTCATTAAATAGTTCCAGAAGGTGGATCATAAGACCCATGCATTATTATTTTAGTGTTCTGTTGTTTGCAGAGATTTTTGAGTTAATTTGGCAAATACCTACATATAATTGTATGTAGGTGATTTTTAAAATTGCTTTCACTTTTAGAAAATATTTTTTCTATTTAAGATTTCTAATTTGCAGATATAACACTTATTTATTACTTCTTAGGCTAGTGATTTCAGCGATATGGCGAATTGGCCAACACCAAGTGAATTAGTGAACACTGGAGTGAGTATTGTTTTAAGACTTTTTCTTAATGAAGAGAAAATAGTCTCATTTCAATATGTAAAATTTATTTTATTTCAGATTTAGAGAATTACATTAATAAAGAAGTGCTAAAAATTTAAGAGCTATCCTTTTTATAGTCTAACCCACTTTTCAGAACCTGATTTTATTCATCATGTTGTCTTCATCTCACTGTATTCTCAAGAAGTAATCTTACATTTGGAAGGGGTGGTTAACCTGCTGTTATCTTCATATAATGCCTACAATTAAAGAGATTAAAAACATTTTTTTTAAAAAGATTTATTTACTTGAGAGAGATAGAGAACCCCATGCACAGGAGTGGGAGAGGAAGAGAATCTCAAGCAGACTCTGCTGAGCTCAGAGTCCTAGGCAGGGGTCCATCCCAGGACCCTGAGATCATGACCTGAGCAGAAATCAGGAGTCTGCTACTCAACAGTCTGAGCCACCCAGGTGCCCCAAAAGAGATTAATTTTTAACATGAGTCTAATTTGAAGCCCATTTTATTTCAGAATCTGTTACATTTTTGATACATAATCTTTTCAATATGTTTTGAAGTGTTAATTATATATACACACGTATGCATTTATGAATAGCATATCAAATCAAGTGTTCAGTGAATGGATTTTTAATTTATTTTTAAAGATTTTATTTATTTATTTGAGAGAGGCAGGGAGGCACAAGTGGGATGGGGCAGAAGGTAAAGGGAGAAGCATACTCCTCACTGAGAACTTACTTGACATGGGGCACAATCCCAGGACCCCAAGATCATGACCTGAGCTGAAGGCAGATTTTTTTTTTAAGATTTTATTTATTTATTTGACAGAGATCACAAGTAGGCAGAGAGGCAGGCAGAGAGAGAGAGGGAAGCAAGCTCCCCGCTGAGCAGAGAGCCCGATGTGGGACTCGATCCCAGGACCCTGGGATCATGACCTGAGCCGAAGGCAGAGGCTTTAACCCACTGAGCCACCCAGGTGCCCCTGAAGGCAGATTTTTAAAAGATTTTATTTATTTATCAGAGAGAGAGAGGGAGAGCGAGAGCGCATGCACACAAGCAGGGGGAATGGCAGGCAGAGGGAGAAGCAGGCTCGCTGCTGAGCAAGGAGCCGATGTGGGACTTGATCCTAGGACTCTGAGGTCATGACTCATGTTGAAGACAGGTACTTAATCGATTGAGCCACCCAGGTGCTTCTCCAATCCCTGAATTTTAATTTAAACTATGAAAGAAACAAAAAGATGGTTCTGAGATACTCTATCAATGTTCATGGAAATTGTTTCATTCAGAAAAACTTTTTGCAGTGCCAGAGTGTCATCAGCCAAGGAAATAAGAAGCCACAAAATAGAAAAGAAAGAGAAGACAAGGTTGAAAAGAGAATTAGCAGTGAGAGCAAAGAAAGCCGGGAAACAAAATTAGATGGTCCTGGTGAAAATGCCAGTGAGGATGAGACTCAGTCAAGTAATCAACGAAAGAGAGGTTAGTTCATCTATAACCTCATTTTTCCAGCAGTTTTATTAATATAATTGATATATAATATTGTGTAGCTTAAAGTATACAACACAGTGGTTATATTGTGAAGTGATTCCCACAATTTTAGTTAATATCTATTTTCCCTGAGTCACAATTTTCTTATGATGAGAACTTTTAAGATCTAGTCTCTTAGCAACTTTCAGATACATAGTACAGTATTGATAACTGTAGTCACCATGCTGTAATATTACATCTCCAGAACTTACTTGTCTTATAACTGGAAGTTTGTACCTTTTGACCACTTTCACTCATTTCCCCACACCACAACCACCAGTCTGTTCTCAGTTACTGTGAATTCAACCATTTTAGATTCCACATGTAATTAAGATCATACTGTGTTTATCTTTCTGGCTTATTTCACTTACCATAATGCCTGCACGGTCCATTCATGTTGTTGCAAATGGGAGGATTTCCTTCTTTCTCATGACCTTCTTTCCTTCTTTCTCAATAATATTCCATTGTATATTTATACATCATATTTTCTTTATCCGTTCATTTGCCAATGGACACATAGGTTGTTTCCAAGTCTTGGTTAGATGGTCCTGGTGAAAATGTCACTGAGGATGAGGCTCAGTCAAGTAATTAATGAAAAGAGGTTAATTTAACTATATCTTCATTTTGATTTTAATTTTTTGAAGAAAGTCGTAGTAATGAATTATATTTAATTAGTTGATTCCTAGTAGTTAGTCACCAATGGGTATTTTAGATTTCTTCAGGATTCTAGCTGCAGTAGTAGCTGATTTGGTTTTGTAACATTCTTGAACTATTAGGTTTTTCTTTATTTCTTTTGACTTATACTCTACGTAGTATATAATGAAGTTATAGAGCTTGGCATGGATAAATTCTTTTTTTAAAAAATATATTCTTGATTTAATATATTCTTGAAAAGTGTGATAATTATTTTTGAAATCTGCAGTGGAACTGTTCCCTGTTTTTCAGGGAGTACCTTTTTTTTTTTTTTTTCTTTTTAAATATTTTATTTATTTATTTGACAGAGAGCACAGCAGAGGGAATAGCAGGCAGAGGGAGAGGGAAAAACAGGTTCTGCTGAGCAGGGAGCCCAATGCAGGGCTCCATCCCAGGATGCTGGGATCATGACTTAAGCCGAAGGTAGACATTTAATGACTGAGCCACCCAGGTGCCCCTTTCAGGGAGTTCTGAGAAAATATTTTCTAGGAGAAAAATTTGGGCCAACTTTTTTTTTTTCCATAGCATTTCTCCATTAAATTACCCACTGAAGAAAAAATAGTCTTTGTATCCTTTTCCATATATTTTACACAACTTTTCATGTGTCTCTAGGGACAGATTATGATTTAACTGCTTTGTAAAAGCATATACTCATTCAGTGTTCTGAGCCTAGGTTAAAGTGTTTTCAGGGACCCTTAGGCAGAAAAGTTCTTTTAAACTGTTGGAAGGTCAGTAGCTGAGACAAGGTGAACATTGGGAGAAGTGACAAGAGATGCTCTGGGAGAAGTAAGCAAGTTCACGTTGTGCAGGGCTTTGGTAGTGTGGAATTAGCATTGTGAGTGCCGTGGGAGGCCATTAAAGCATTTTAATTCATGGAAGTGATGTGACATGGGAGGGGACATTTTATAATGAGGTGTAATTTCCAGCCAACTTCTTTAATAATGGAACTAATAGTACACTGTATATTGAGCACTTCATGATTTTTTAAAAATATCTAATCCTTAGCTTTAGGGTAAGCATATTAGGCTCACTTGATACAATGAACCAAGGCTAATTGCTCAAAAGTGGTTTGCAACAGGACAACCATGTGGTTGTTGGTCAAAAATTTCCCCATTCCTTAAACATATTTGTCACTTAGCTTTTTTATGCTGCTTAGATACATTAAGTCTTTTTTGATTGTCTAGAATTCATACAGATGATAGGTATGTCATTCTGCTTTAAAATTTGTCTTCTGTGTTAGTTGCTATAATTAAAAGTGATCAGACAACACTAAAACCCAGGTTTTTATAGATAAACTCATACAAGAGTCATGAATTGACTCTCCTTGGAGCACCTTTTTTTTTTAAAAACAAACAAACAAACAAAACAAAACCAAAAAAACCCTTTAAGGAAAGGCTTGTTTATACCAGAGAATCTCACTGATAGAATTTATAGTACGAAATTTAAAGAGTTTTTTGATTCTTTCATATTCTTTTCCTTGTCTGTGAGTAGTTTGCAGGATTTATAGGAAATCAGTATTGTAGTTGCATACTGGTAATTCCCTTTCCCTTAATTACTGTGGTAGTTTTTCCTTTGCACATGAGTCTTGCTGTTTTAATCAAAAATATATATTGAATAGAAGACTAAATATTTTGAAACTTTACCTATGGATTCCACAAATTAAGTAATCTTCAGAATTTCACTATAGTATAACAATTACACTATCATTTAGTCAGCAAGAGAAGTTAAATTGCTTGTATCTCATCTCAAGAAAGTGTGTAGTAGCTATAAAGAGATTTATCATATGCAGTTAGACAAATTTTATACCCTAATTTTGAGAAACCTATTTCATTATTAGTAATGCTGGGTAAACGACTATTTTGGACAGTAACCTGAAACCAAAAATGTTTTGAATCCTCAGCCAAACTTGCAGTGTGTACTTGTGTCTTATTAGATACCCCATTCTAAAGCGAGAGTCAGTTATTAGGAGCAGTGTATTACATGTACTGCTTATTCATCAGAATTAAAAGAGTGGACGTTTTTCTTGAAAGTAAAGAAAACCAATGATATTCCATCAGCTGGCTCTTCACATGAATTTTAGAAATATTTGGACAGGTAAGTTTATCAAGGAGCTCTGTGAAAAGAAAATTAGTTCTCTGCAAGAAACTTTGAGGACAAACTAAGTCTCACATTTGATTAAAATCTAGCATCCTTCAAAATTGCAAAGCTTTAATGAAAATTATACAGTGTCATTAAATGGTTTTATTTGGTTTTCTTCAAGCCAATAAGCACAAGTGGGTACCACTCCACTTAGATGATGTAAGACCAGACAGTCAAGAAAGACCAGGATCCCGGAACAGTTCAAGATGTCAACCTGAAGCAAATAAATCATCACATAATAATAGGAGAAATGAGACCCGAAGTAAGTTACATTCTAAGAGAAAAATGACACTAAAGAACTTAGTGTTAATGTTCATAATTTTAGTAATTATGTTTAGAATAAACTAGTTGAGAATAAGTTGCAGACATTGTGCGCCGTTTAACACTAAATACCTTCAGAGTATGTATCATAAGAACAGTAATGTGGTATGACTGTCCACAGGCAGATTTTCCCATAATGTCCTTTTCAATTTTTTTCCTCCTTTCCAGGATTTAATCTGAGATCATGCATTGCTTTTAATTGTCTTTTCTGTTTGGTCCCCATTAATCTAGAGCACTTCTGCTTTTATCTTTGATTACTTTTTTTTTTTTTAACCTGAAGACTTTGGGTCAGTTAGGTGGCAGATATCTCACTTTGGGTTTTCTGGTGTTTGCACATGATTAGATTTGGGTTATGAATCTTTTGTAGGAATACTGCAGAACTTAAATGGTTTTCTTCTCAGTGCATGGAAACACACATGATGTTGGTTTATCTTATTATTGTTGATATTAATTAACTTTGAACACTTGGTTAAGGTGATGTGCTCCAGGTTTCTTTTTTTTTTTTTTTTTAGGATTTTATTTATTTACTTGATAGAGAGACAGTAGCAGAGGGAGAGGGAGAAGCAGACTCACCAGGGAGTGAGCAGGGAGCCCTGATGTGGGGCTTGGCTGGATCCCAGGACCCTGGGATCATGACCTGAGCCCAAGGCAGGCCCTCAACTGACTGAGCCACCTAGGCACCCCAGGTTTCTTTTTTTCTCCTTCATAATTAATATGTAAATTTTGGAAATAACCAGTTTTTCATCAGGCTTTTCACATGAGCTTTAGTTTGCATTGATGAGTCTTGCCTGATTCAGTTATTACCATAATCATTGCAAATGCTGATTTTTCTTACTATATTATTACTTCTATATATATTAGTTGTATTCTTCCACTGTAAGGAACGACTTCTGTTATTATCCGTGTGGGTTTAGGGCTAATTTTGGGGGGGGATTATAATCCATTACCGTAATTTTTTAGTTTGATGCTTAGATTGTCCCAGATTTGGGATCCTCTTACAGGTGATTTCTGGCTCTTTTTTTAAAAAGTCAACTTTACTGAGCTATGAATTATACATGTATAAAATACATTCACATATAATGTTGTTACTTAAAGATCATTTCCCAGATACATTATTTCAACAGGATTTCCCACATTTCAGAAAGCATAGAACAGTAGGAGGTATGAGACAACAATTAGAGGAGCATTTGTTTTTATAGGTCTCTGTTGGAATCTTAAGGCTGATAATTTTTTTTTCTAGTCTGATCATTTCCAAAGCATAAATGTTGTTCTGTGAGTGGAGAAGGCTTAAGAAAATTTTACAAACCTTATACTACTAGTTAAAACTTTCCACTTATATTATGAAAAACCTTAAACACACAAAAAGTTGAAAGAATTATACAGTGAATACCTGTCTAACCAGGGCCTAGATTTAGTAATTTTCCTATATTTAACTCACCTTTCTATTGAATTATTTGAAAGTTAACTTGTAGGTAATCATGACACTTCAGCACTGATGTCCTAAAAAAAATGCAACATCTAGGAATTGACAGTAATTCCCTAATATCATCTGGAATCTAGTTATATTTACTCAGCTGTCCTCAAAATATGACTCTAAAATTATGAAACTTGTCTACAAAAAGACATTTTTGCCTTTGTATTGTTTATTCTCAAATATATCACTTTAATGTTAAAAAAGTAATATATATTCAAAATTAATGTTTTTTTCTTACTAAATATTGGGCCCATAAGAAGACATGAGGATTTTAAAGAACAACAATATAAGCAACACTGGGAAGTCAGCACCAAGTTTAGAAATGCATATATTATCAGTACCTTTGAACTTCCTTGTATGCCCCTAGCAGTTTCATTCCATTCCTTCTCAGAAAAGAATGCCTGAATATTTGTTTTTTCAGTATTTTTTACATGATATTGACATTCAGTATGACTCCATTAACATAGTCTTTGGAACCAATTTTTTTTTTGCTTTAGTCTGATTTTCTTAGGTTATATTGCTGTGAGTCCTTTTCCTTGTCAAAGGTTATTTCACTATTTGATAAAATCTGTTGGTAGACCTTTGGATTGTTTCAGTTTTTTGATATTAAAGTACTACCGTGTACATTTTAATGCATGTTTTCCTGTAAACATGTACAAGAGGTTCTTGGGGTAATTTATTCAGACTGCAGCCCATGAGTGTGTTACGAAATTGGTGTACTGGGTCATGATCAGGTCTTTCAAAAAATGGATAGACTCTAGAGTGCTTCACTCAAAATATATTTTTCATGACAATTGTGTGTGTGTGTGTGTGTGTGTGTGTGTGGTTTTTTTAAGGATTTTATGTGTTTATTTGAGAGAATGAGTGGTGGGCAGGGGCAGAGGGGGAGAGAGAGAAGCAGACTCCCTGCTGATCAGAAAGCCAGGTGTGGGGCTTCATCCCAGGACCCAGAGATCATGACCTGAACTGAAGGCAGACACCCAACCGACTGAGCCAACATGTGTCCCAACAATTGTGTTTAAATTACAAAAAAAAAATTGTGTATTCTAGGGTGTAATGTATAGTAAGGCTTACTGTGGATTGAGGCAGATGTGTTTGAGAAAGAATGTATTAAGATAAGCATTAAGGAGGAATTGCAGCATTTAGGTCAGTGATTCTCAATGGAAGTGATTTTCCCCTACCCCTAAGGGGGAATTTGGCTTTGTCTGGAGATAATACTGGTTTTCACAACCGGGGGATGGGGGGTTAGTGCCTGCTACTGGCATCTAGTGGGTTGAGATCATGGATGATACTAAACATCCCCCAGCCCCCTATACTAGAGAACTGTCTGGCTCAAAATGTCAGTAGTGCCAAGGTTGAAAAACCTTATCTGTAGGATAGATAGATAGATAGATAGATAGCTTTGAATTTATTTGATTATTCTGAATTGTTTTTCAAAGTGGATGTGCCTGGCTTTGCTCTCACTAATGGTATATAGTATTCTTTTTTCTGTCTTGGTCAATGTTTGAAATTTTAAGGCCTTAAAATTTTGTTAGCCTCTGGTAGATCAAATACTCTGTCTTAATTTGTGTTTCTCATGACTGGTGAGGCTGGATGCCACTTTCTATATTTATGGTCCCTTTGCGCCTGTTTGCCTACCTGTCTTTTAGCCATTTTTCCCATTGAGTTACTGTGTGTGTGTACAGTGCATATGCACTAATGCATTCTATATTCTGAGTATAATTCCTATATTGTACTGCAGATAACTTCCAGTTTCTTTTCTTTTTTTTTTTTAAGATTTTATTTATTTATTTGAGAGGGAAATAGAAATCATGAATGGGAAAAGGGAGAGAGGCCAACTCTCCACTGAGCAGGGAGTCCAGCACAGGGGTTGGGGGATGGGGGATGGTGGTGCTCGATTCCAGGACCCTGAGATCATGACCTGAGCTGAAAGCACATGCTTAATCCACTAAGCCACCCAGGTGCCTCTCTTCTAGTTTGTTTTGTGTTTTCATTTCCTTTTTTCTTTAAAGGAATGTCTTTACTTAAATTGAGACAACCTTTCCTTAAACATTTTGTGAAAAGTTGTTTTTAAGTTTTATATAATGCAAACTCAAGTCATCTTGGAACTTCCAGAATCTTCAATAGTATCATCTTTTTTTTTTTTTTTAAAGATTTTTATTTATTTATTTGACAGACAAAGATCACAAGTAGGCAGAGAGGCAGGCAGAGAGAGAGAGAGAGAGAGAGAGAGAGAGGAGGAAGCAGGCTCCCCACCGAGCAGAGAGCCCGATGTGGGATCTGACCCCAGGACCCTGAGACCACGACTGAGCCGAAGGCAGAGGCTCTAACCCACTGATCCACCCAGGCGCCCCTCAGTAGTACCATCTTAACAAAGGACCTCTTTATTTTTTTAGTATGTTACTTTGCTTATTAGAACGTCGTCTTTATATGTCAGTACTTCTGTAGGCCCTCTTTTATGCCAGGGACATTTTGACAAATTCCTTTGAGATCTCCTAAATTTTTAACTATCCGAAGAAGAAGGTGGGGGAGGGGGTAGTTACCATGCATTCATAAAAATAATCACATTATTCACTGTTGCAAATTGGAATGTATAAAAATATTTTTGTTTTTAAAAGGTTGGAGGCGTGATAGAGAAAAGAGAGACGATCAAGATGAAGTTTCCAGTGTGAGAAGTGAGGGTGGTAATATCCGAGGTTCCTTTAGAGGTCGAGGAAGAGGCCGAGGACGGGGAAGAGGACGAGGCAGAGGAAATCCTCGATGTAGGACATGAATTTTTATTTTTTAAAATTTGATGGTTTAAAAAAAGTGTGCAAGCCCTTTTCCCCCCACTATCCTGTACAGTGTTTTAAATAATTTTTTTTGGTCTGATAATAAAGATGGTCTTATATTTGTTATCCCTTGGAATACTTCACTTTGGGTTGTTCCTTATGGTGACTATTTCTCTTTAAGAAAAATTTGTAATCACATTTCTTTTTCTTTATTCACATCAAGTGAACTTCGATTATTCATATGGTTATCGAGAACATGGTGAAAGGACTGATCAGCCATTTCAAACAGAACTTAATACCAGTATGATGTATTACTATGATGATGGTACAGGTGTACAGGTGTATCCTGTGGAAGAAGCATTGCTTAAAGAGTATATTAAACGCCAAATGTAAGTCGGACATAGATGTCCTACATCAAACCTTAACATTATTGATAGTGAATACATTATAACACGTTTTCTAAGCTGTTTATTAGTAAAATTGGAAGATTTTAGTGGTATTTTTTTTTCTAGAAAATGTTAATACAACATGAATTTTTTTTTTTAAACTTAAATTTGGCTTATATTGTGTTATATAAGACTCCTGCTTTGTCTACTGTTCAGGTATTTCTCTGTTTAAAGGGTATTAGTTGAAAGAGTATTGTCAGGGTATAATGCATGATTAAATATAAATATAAAACTGCTGTGTATATACATGAAGTTGAACAAAGCCTGGCTTATTATTTGCAAATATATTTTTATATCGAAATTTGCAAATGAACATAAATAGCAAAACATGGTGATAGATATTTTTTTACTTTCTTAGCAAATGATTTCAGAATTCTTAGTTTTTTTTAACTTTTAAGTTCTCATTCTTTGTGACACATATTGAAGGGGAACTACCTCATCTTTTTTAGTTCAGACTTTTTATTCTAGTTCTCATAATTGCCTTCTGAATACTGAAGCTGAAGTTAGAATATTTTATTGTTTTTAGGAAAGAAAAACCCTAGTACATATTAGTACTACAGGATGTTTCGCATATTTATGTAATGTATTTATTGGTTAGAAAAATGTCCCCAAGTGATTTGCATAACCAGTTTGCTGAAATTTGATTATTTTTTGTTCTTACAATGTGCAGGAGAAGGCTATTTTTGGAAGGGTATAAGCATCTTAAAAACATCTTCCTTTAAGAAAGAAAATTTACTGTTACTAGAAAATAATTTCCTCCTCAGCATCATCCAGGCATCTTCCTGGGATGCCTTCATGGTGGATTTGATTGGCTTACATACAATACGAGGCAACTTGTTTATTTTGTTCTTGCTTCTTCTGTTACAGTTGACGCAAACACTGAAGAAAAGGGCCTTTTTATGGGCAGAAAGTGCCTGGCATGTGGCTATCAACTTCAAACCACTATTCCTGTCTTTTTTGTAACTCTTGCTGCCAGGTCCCTTCTGAGACCTGACAGTGGATATGCAACTCCATGTCAGGATAATCGGCCTCCAATGTGCTCATACAAGTGAGGGAGGAGCAGAGCTACATCAGTGTTGAGAAAATTTCTGATCATGCAGTGTAGAATCCAGAGCTTCTAAGGTAGGACATGATAATGTCCCCTAGGACACTGAACAAATGTCAGACACAGCATTGGGCATGACTCCTCTTTTTTGTTGTTATTGTTTTAGCAGTAGGATTTTGGCAGATGGTAGAGCACTAGGTTTAGAATGGCTCTTTACTGTTATTGTTCTTTGATTAGTGGAGTCCTGCTTTGAGGAGTCATGCTTTTGACTTTGTTTTCCTTGAGGTTTCTCATAGGTAGGCTCAGGGTTTACATTTTTTCTTTGAGAAGTTACTGAAAAACTTTCTTGCATTTTTGGAAAAGTGTGCTAAATGTATTTTGAAGTAAGAAGCTTAACTATATTATGGATGATAGTATTTTTAAAATAATTTTAACTGAAAATATATTAATAATTTGTCATTTTTGTGTCAGAATATTAAAAATTTAAGATCATGATTATTTCTAGCTTCTGAATCTGACATTCAGATTTAGAGATGAGTAGTTTGTAGCCCATTAGAAGTTTAAAAACGTATACCCTATAGGTAATAGGGTGATTTATGAATTTATTCAGATACTAAGGTTTTCACAAAGTACTAGAATAAAAAGCTGTCTTATTAATGATTCAGAGAAGTTTTTTCTAAGAACAGTTTTAACTTGTGACTAAATCAGATGTCCTCATTTGTGAAAATTTAGAATTTAAGCAGGTGTATTTTGTGCCTGCCACGTCTGGCACTGTGAAAAGGACTTTTGATGTGTAACAAAAATTAGAACACATGTGTTATGTGCCCACCACATGCCAGGCACTGTGAAAAGGGCTTTTTTGAGGTGTAACAAAATCTGAATGTTTATTTCTTTAAGACTAAGATTTTTTTCTTCAGTGTTTAAGATGAGTAGATGATTTACTGGTGTTACTGAGATGTCAGGTGTATTTCACTGATCTCTAAGGGAGTTTTGCACTTCAATAGTTGGGTAAATCTCTGAGTATAAAGAAACAACTTGAGTATTTACATTTCTAAAGATTTTTTTTTTCTCCTAGTGAAAAGTAGCTCAAAGCCATTCCTCATTTATGGGTGATTATTTCTTCAAAGTTAGAATTTGACCTAAATATTTCAGGGGTCTCTTTAGTCACCCAGTGTTACACCAAAGTATATGATTTAGTATCCTTTCTCATAATTTGCCACCGATCTTTGAAAACTGTCTCTGATTTGGAAACACTATAGGATTATTAACCTGTAGGCCATATTATCATTGATGTCATGTATTTCTTTTGTATTCTTTTGTGTATTTCCCTCCATTGTCCTCTTGGTTGCTCTATAATTCTTTTCTTACTTTTCTGTATGGAGGCCGTAATTTTAAATGTGTTTCTCAAATGCCATTATTAAATATATCTATATTATCTTTGTATCTTGGAACTTCTACTTATTGATTATACAGTTTGTCCACTTAAATTTCTCTCTATACTTTCCTAGAGAAGATAAAGGTGTTTAAGCTTTTTTGTATTTTTACCCCCATGTATCTCACAGTATCATAGATATTTCTTGTTTAGCTATATATTCTGTTCACTCTTAATGTCTTGTATAGTTCTCTCCATCAAAGAAAGAGGGAGATCTTGCAAATATATAATTGTGTGTGTGTGTGTGTGTACACCTGTGCTCATATATTCACTAAATTTTTACTCAGCATTGTGCTGATTGCTGGGATTCAGAAATACTAAACAATGTCAGTACCTTGTCAATTTAGAAAACAAAACAAAAACTGTAATCTACTCTGTAAAGTTAACAAAGAATACTTCCAAAAATAATGTTCTTCTCAGTAATGGGGAAAAAGTTGAAGGTAATCTGTTGACCTGTATTTAGTCAGCTAAATGAAGCAAGTTAAAATAGTTTTTAACGAAAATTTTCACTTAATTGACTCATTTTACAAAATCAGTTATTGAACTATTTTAAAGTAGACAGCTGGTTAATTCTTTATGCTTAGATAAAGCTGACCTAAGTAGGCGTTAATATTAGGTTTTTGGGAGTGAATCAGTATTCTAAATGTCTTTTTACTCATGGATAAGAAATTATAAACTCAGTAGGGTTTTGCTCTTTCTTGTATTTACCCTATATCTAAGTTGTATTAAATCTATTTGTTATTAATAAAATAATTTTAAAGCTGTTTATAAATAAGCCATAGATATTTTTACTTCCTGTTGAATACATGAAATAAAGGTAATCTTTATTTCTTTTTGTTTATGTTTCTTTTTTTCAGTGAATATTACTTCAGTATAGAAAATTTAGAACGGGACTTCTTTCTTAGGAGAAAGATGGACGAACAAGGTTTCTTGCCTATTTCCCTGATTGCTGGTTTCCACCGTGTTCAGGCTCTCACTACAAACCTTAATCTCATTTTAGAGGTAATTATTCATTTACAAAACAGTTCCAAAACAGCTGTACTTTCCTAAAAGTGCTCTAAAAGTAATATGTGAACCTAAAAATGCTCTAAAAAGTAATATTAAACACCTTAAGGAAAAAGCACAAAAATAATCTTTAGTTGCCTAAGGCTTAGACTGCATCTCATGGCCTGTTTTCATTTTATAAAACCCAAATAAATGCCTAATCTTGGAAACCCCTCAAATGGGGTTTACTAATGGTGTTTCCACGTATTTCTAACCTGATCCTTCAAACTTGGACCTTCTTGATTGTGCTTGGTCCTTTAGTCTTCTCAGATTGCTGCAAAATAAAATGTATTTCTATTGATTAAAATTTTTAGGATTTTTCCTGTGCTATAATTTAAAACTTTTAAATAATAATAATATAATATGATATATAATTTATATATCATATATCATATATAATAATTATATTAACACATAATGATGTAAAAATAATATATAATTATAGTACTAATTATATAATTATTCCACTTGTTAAGAATACGCTTTCATTAAATTTTTTGTCCTATTCTAGAAATGCTGTGAACATTTTTGGTTTTCTGTTCCCTGTATACATGTAAACAAATTTGCCCTTTTGCTGTAATTTTGCCAGACTTGAATTCTTGTGCCCCTGTGTAGCCAGTCCCTTTTCCCATACACAAGCCCTGGAACCATTGATTGGATTTTTGTCCTTTTAGTTTTGCCTTTTCCAGAATATATAAGTAAGTTACATGTTTCTATGTAGTTTGTAGCCCTTTATTTCTGATTTCTTTCACTTAGCATAGTGCCTTTGAGATTTGTATTGTACATTATCAGTAGTTTGTTCTTATTGTTGATTAGATTCCATAGTGTGGATGTACCACAGTTTATCCATTCACTTGTTGGTAGACACTTAGATTGTTTCCAGTTTTTGATCATGAGTAAAGCAGAAGGGTCTTTGTGTGGATATGTGTTTTCATTTCTGTTGGATAAATATTGAGGATTGTGATTGCTGGTATGTATTGTAAGTGTATTAACTGTAAGAAGTATGTCTATAGTGGGTTTGACCATTTTGCATTCCACCATTTTGTATGAAAGTTCCATTTGTTCTGTAGCCTCATCAGTATTTATTTGCCATCAGTGTACCTTTTGTGTTGAAATGCCTGTTCAGATATTTTGCCTTTTTTTTTTTTTTTTTAATCAGAGAGGGTGAGAGCACAAGCAGGGTAGAGGCAGGCAGAGGGAGAAGCAGTCTCCCCATTGAGCAGGGAGCCTGATGTGGGACTCGATTCCAGGACCCTGGGATCATGACCGGAGCTGAAGGCAGATGTCTGCTCAATGAACTGAGCCACCCAGGCATCCTTATTTTGCCAGTTTTTAATGGAGTAAGAGTTCTTCTGAATACAAATCCTTTGTGTTTTACAAATATTTTTTTCCCAATCTTTGGCTTATCTTTTTATTTTCTTAACAGCCTTCTTTAGCAAATTTTTGTGAACATGTGTGCTCTGGGCTTTAAAAACTAGCTACAGGAGGATTTAAGATTTCAAAAACAATAAAAACTAATGATTTGTTATTTGTTGATATGTAATTACTGAGTCTTTGTTTTATGAAAGAAATTATTTCAAGTACTACCATTATTAGATTTGTTTATATATGCCATCTAAATAGTTTCTATTTTCTAAGAAAACTTAGTTTTTTCCTGCAAAGCCTAGTCTTCAGAAAAATATTATGATTATATTCATAGTAGAATGAGTTTATTAACTACTGCCATCATTTGTGCTAAAGCAAAGATATAGCTGTCATTTTATATATATATATATAAATATATATAAATATATATATATTTATATATATAAATATATACAAATTTATAATATATATATATATAGTCATTTTCAGTGAATTTGTTATTGATTTCCCTCACTCTCTGTAATTCTGTAGGAATCTGGTTATAATTTCATTATTGTATTTTTTTTTGGTCTCTTGGTGTCCCCATTAAGTCTGCCCACATAATTTTTAGGTTATTGATTATCAATCTGTTTCCTTATAATTTACAGCAGTAGGGAAGGAATAGTTAAAAGGACTTTTGCTTTACTGTTATGAATTGACATAGTTAAGCATAGTGATTTAGAACAGCATAGGCTGCATTCACTTATCATTCATTATGCACCTACCATTGGTTACAGTGGGAAAAGTCGTCAGTTTTCTGTTAAGAATGTAGAATTTCATTGGGCTTTGTAATATAAACATACTAATTTAGAGTACAGACTTGAGAACAAGTATATATATCCTTGTAGTTTTGTGATCTTGGGCAATGTCTTGAGACTTCTGCAAAGTGGAAATGATAACAATACGTACTTCATAGGGTGTTGAGGATGAAATGTTTAATGACAGTTTCTGGCACAAACAGCCCTAAATAAGAATTTTCTATTATTGTTAGTCTTCAAGGATGCCCTTCTATTGTTCGCTCCTTTTTTTGGATCTTCATTTCAATACATCAACATCAACATTTTGTTATATGCATTTTGATATGCTCAAGCTTTCTTTCCTGAAGAACTATGAAAAGCAAAATATACCTTAGTTCACACCCCTGTCTGTCCCAGTTGAGGTTTTCTACATAGCCAGTCTTACTGAATCTGTTTCCTCCCATTCATTTTCGGCTTATTATATTTTTTTTTACTTGATATATATATATTGTAATAGGATTGGTATTATAGTGATATTTATCACATAATTATAGTACAGTATTTTCTGTAGTCATTATACTGTGCATGAAATCTCTGTGGATTATTTTCTACTTGTTGCCAGTTAGTACTCTTAAACAACACCAGTCTTATTCCCCCACCTGCTATTTCCTGATAACCACCGTTTTACTCTTTTTTTAAATGAGTTTCACTTTTTTATATTCCACATACAAGTGATATCATACAGTACTTGTCTTTCTCTGACTTACCTCACTTAGCATAATGTCCAGAAGATCCATCCATGCTCATGGCTGAATAATATTCTGATATATATTTGATACATATGTATTTGATATATATGTGCATGTATATATGTGTGTGTGTGTGTGTGTGCGCGCGCACGCACTACATTTTCTTTATCTCTTCATCTGTTGATGGGTGTTTAGTTTGTTTCTTAGTTTGTTTCCACCATCTTAGCTACTGTGAATAATGCTGCAATAAACATGGGTGTGCAGGTATCTTTTCAGAATCCTATTTTCATTTTCTTTGGGTATATACCCAGAAGTGGAATTCTGGATCATATGGTAGATCCAGTTCACTGCATTCTTGATTGCAGTGAACAGAGAGCTATTTGTGATATCCTTTCTTTTTTTTTTAATTCAATTATTCCTTGATCTTTAGCTAATCAGTTGTATGACTGTTCAAGTTACTTAACCTTAACCTCTTCATGCTTGTTTTCTCATTGTTAAAATAGGGCAAATAATACTTAAACTATCACAGAGCATAAGGACTTAAGAGAAATAATTAATGTATTTGTAATGTCCTTGAACTATTCTTGCTACTCCCATCTGAAACTGTTTTCTAAACTGGCTGACTGTGGTTCCTCAGAATGTGTGCTGCTGTCTTATCTTTTAAGTTTTTGCACATGTAGATCTTTTCTCTTGGTACCAGGCATAGGACCAGGAACTAGGAATATATTATCTATGTATTCTAACATTGGTAATTATTCATAATAATATTTGGTCCATTTAAGAAAAAGGACTAAAATTAGTAGTTAGAAAAGCCATCAGATATCAAAAAATATTAACTGCACACTTTAACTCATTGTTTAGGACTTCAGGGTAATCATGGTTTGGTTTTAATAAGACTCTTGTCTAGATCTTTTCCTTAATTTTGTATAAAACATAATTTTTATATGATGTTTGTAAGTTCTAAATCACAACATTCACTTGTTCTCTTTATTTTCTTAACTTTTTCAATAGGGAATAAATTTCCTGTGATTTAAGATTCAAAGGGTGTGTAGTGAACAATTTCCTTCCCATCTTTTACTAATAGTCAACTAGTTAAACCTTTCTTGGTGACAGTCAGTGTTACTTCTTTTTCGTGTATTTTTCCCAAGCTACTACATATTATACTACATATATTGTTATGCCCTTTTTTAAAAAACAGTATATATTAGATTATTCAGGGTTGTGTATAAATAACTTTGGGTTTTTTTCCCACTCAGATTTTTTCTTTTAAACTGAGGCATAATTGGGGTGCCTGGGTGGCTCAGCCATTAAGGGTCTGCCTTCGGCTTGGGTTATGATCCCTCAGTCTTGGGATCAGGGAGCCCTGCATCAGGCTCCCTGCTCAGCTGGAAGCCTGCTTCTTCTCCCACTCCCCCTGCTTGTGTTCCCTCTTTCACTGTGTCTCTGTCTCTCAAATAAATAAAATCTTAAAAAAAAAAATTGAGGCATAAGTTATACACTGTATATTAGAAATCATAGGATTACATACAACTTTTCTCAGTGTATGTAGTTGTGTAATTGCCTCCCAGATTAAGATATAAAACATTTTCAGCATCCCAGGAAGCTCCCTTGTGCTGTCCTCCTAGCCTGTACACTGGTCTCCTCAAAGGTCAATTTGGTGGTCTCATTGTCTCTCAGAGCTCTCTCATTTGTTTTTTAATTTCACCTAATTAGAGGTATGTGTGCTCTTTTATATCTGACTTTTACTTATCATTTCTGTGAGGTTTACCCGTGTTGCTGGTATGTAGCAGTTGTTGATTATCCATTTTGGGGGTAGTATTTCATTCTAGGAATAAAACACAATGTATTTTTCCATGCTGCGGTTTATAGATGCATGGGTTCTTTCCAGTTTGAATCAGTGGTACTGTTGCGAACATTATCATACATATTTTTTGATGGTCATATGCATTTATTTTCCTGTGACATGGGTAACATGAGATACACACACACACACACACACACACACTTAGCTTTTGTAGATACTGCTAAACATGTTTTCCAAATTATTAAACCAATTAACACTACCACCATTCACAATTTCACTTGCTCATTATTCTCTCAACATATTTGTAGTCTTTTTCTACTTAAAAATTTAAACCAATAGGAAAGTTTCAAAGATTTTTTTTTTAAATTCAGGTATAAATAGCATGCTGTAAAATCCAGAGGTCTTAGGTGTTCATTTTGAGTTTTGGAATTGTATAAGCCTGCCCTCAAAAAGATAAAGCCCATTCCTCTAAGAACTTCCTTCATGGTCCTTTCCAGTCATGGTCAATCCCCCGCCAAATCCTCTGCTGCATCCCAAACCACTTTTCTAATTATATAAGCATAGATTAATTTTGTCTATTTATACACATTTGTGTAAGTGGGATTTTTCTGTGTCCTGGCTCTTCCATTCGTAGTTTTTGAAATTCATCGATGTTGCGGGATCTGGATGCTGGGTATGCTGGTGTTTGCTACTAGAGTGTCATTGCTTCTAGAATGTTCAATAGATAAAACTAGGAAAATATATGTTAAAAGAAAATATAGCTATCACCAATTCAAACCCCTTATCATAGGCTTCTTCCTTATTTCCTTTATTCTGTATTTCATACTCTGTTTTTTCAGAGAGTATCCTGATTCCCATCAAAAAAGTTTGTTTTTAAATAATTTTTAATAATTTAAAGTACTGTCCAGTTTTGAAAATATAACTTTAAAAAGTGAGTATTATATTAAGGGCATATAAATGTAAAAGTAACACATATGATATGTTCTTCCGCTAAAAGATAGTGAGTTTTAACTTTTATAACATAACAAGTATATATGTTCAGTTTTTATATTATATTTGTATTTTTCCTGATTCTATTTCTAAAAGGTAAGTACCCTTGAATTTCAGATAAAATTCAGTTCACTAAGTCTTTTATTTTGAGGAATTTTTGTTCTAGTTTTATTTTATCATTGAATTGCATATGTTATTTTTGCAAAGCTCTATAGCTTAGTGACTAAGATTCAGTGGTGGATAGCTAATAAATTATTTGATCCTAGTATTGCCTCATACTAAGTCTATGATCTTTATCAAGTTATTTCTTTGAGCTTCAGTTTCCTCACCTGTGTACATTACAGGGTATTGTGAGGTATGTGTATGTGTGTTTCTTACCATTTATAATGATGGTAGTTAATAAAATAGTGCTTAAGTTTTATTTAGTGGTTTATTATTAAGGTAAGATAAAAGGAAATATGAGAGAAAAAACCTGAAAATAAAATTTAATTATGGTAAAAGTAGTTTGATTATAGTTGATGTAATAATCCTTCAATGCTAATTCTGTTGTGAAAACCAAATTATTTGCTGCATGTTATGTAGGATATCTATTACCTATCACAGGGGCAAATTATTTAAAAATTTGTTTTAAGTAGTTAATTCATTGATATTTTTAGAAATGTTTACTGTAATAATGTCTGCTGATTTCAGATTTAAAAAAAAAAATTAGGTTATTTGAAGTATAGGATGTACAATTACAGTTTTTTGAATGAAAGTTCTTTAATAGCTTAAAATACCTATTTATAGGCACTGAAAGATAGCACAGAAGTGGAAATTGTGGATGAGAAAATGAGAAAAAAGATAGAACCAGAAAAATGGCCGATTCCGGGCCCTCCTCCACGAAGTGTGCCACAGACAGACTTCTCTCAACTGATTGATTGCCCAGAGTTTGTACCAGGCCAAGCCTTTTGTTCACATACAGGTAACAGCTTTTCTTCTAGAGCAAGCAGTGTAACGGTGGGCTATCTGGTCGCATTTACCTATCCTTTAAAAAAAGTTTATTTAGATTGTTTAGGAAAATTAAAGAAAACTGAATGACTTTGATGCTCTAAATTCTATTCATTTTGTGCCCCCCACCCAGCCATAAATTAAAAATGGATTTAAGAATTATGGGTAAACCTCTGCTCCATTCTTAAATTGTATACTTTGTCATGTATGGAATTTCTACCTATCTTCTTAATTTTACTAAATGATTATAGATAAGTTGTGCTAGTTTCCTCTTATAAGATTGGAGTAGTGTAGTAGGATGAAGTAGTTTAAAAGTCTTATACTAAAGAGTGGGGCTGACTTTAGTTTTGTTACTAGTGTGCTTCAGTCCCATCTTGTAAAGATGGGATGGCCTATATGCAAAAGCAGCATTGGGGTATTGTTATGAAATTATTATGATTATAGATTAAAGAATTGATGGTAATTAGAATTTCCAAAAACTGCTTTAATATTAAGAATTTTTTCCTGGATCATTTTTAAGACATTCCCTCTTGGGAAAAAATGTGTGTGCTTAAACTTTTTTCAGTCAGGGTGATGATCTACTGATGCTTGGATGTCATTTGATCGAACATGCAGAGGAATAGGTGATTCACTGAAATATTATAAACATTGGAACAAATCGTGCTGCAGAAATGAAAGCGACCAGACTTCTATGCAAGAATGTCTACTCCCGACTCCTCGTGGAGGAGGTTGGGCCACCACTACAATGGAGATAAACACCTTTGTGATGATAATGAGAGAGAGACCAGAGGACTGCTGTTGTTTTTATAGGAGCCACCCGTTTGTGTGTAATTAGCCTGAGCTGCATGTGCTACTTTTATTTACGGTGGGAAAGTTAATTATTCTGGAAATATTGCAAAATTCTTTTTTCCCAGACTTATGTACTGTGTCCACATCAATAAAACAAAAATAGAGAGGCTTGAGTGGCATTTCCCAGATTGTTAGGTGCTTTGCTATTTGATTTGCCCTTCAGTACAGTGTACAGTGTACAACTCACATGTCACCATAGTATTTCACATGGACTATGAGATGTGTTAATGTGGACATGGGGGGATAAGAAATATGAGAAATTAACAAGAATATTTTTTTCTAAACTCTTCAAAATATATTTTTTATACACCAGTATGTGAGACCTGCCATCAATAAAGTACCGATGAACAGTCTCACAGATATTTTTATTTAGTGTTTCTTTGATTGTCAGCCCTCTGTGCCTCTAACCCTAGCAAGCAACTTGGGCAGATGTTTTAAAAGTTGAAGAAAAGTGATATTTTTTAGGTTTTCTTAAAAAAAGACTTAATGTCTGATTGTGTAAATTAGATTGTGTAAACTTTGGGCCTAAGATGACATTTTTAACATGCTTATGAACAGGCATTAGGTGAGTTAGATAAAAATAGAAAATACTTTTTCCTCAAGGTAGCTAATAAGATAGGTCAGTCAAGTTGTTGATGCCTGTTCATTTAACCATTTATGCATTATTAATAAAATTACAAGAATAAAATCACAATGTCTTGTATATTTTTGTGTTTTTTAAATATACACTCATTTACATCTCATACATATTGCCAAAACATATCACTCTATATTTAAATGTCCAAAATTTTAGGTTCTTTAAATTACACATCTGTAACCACATGGATAATGAAGGCATATAGAATGTTCTTAGAGTTATGCGGATTTACATTACATCATAGGAATAGGTACATAAATTCAGCCTTTTTCATGAATCCCCATATTTCTGACCTTAATAATTATCCTCTGATGAGAAAGGCTTAGGTCTTAAATTCAAGAGAGAGTAGTATGTCACCAAAAATGTGAAATGGATATAGGAATAGGAAAAGTAGATTGTGTTTATCTGTACCTATAGGTGAAGAAACTTTTATCTATGTCCTTTTTATCTCTAAAAAGACTTTAAGTTTAAAAAACATAACCATTGATGTATACTTCCTGAGGGATTTTTATTGTAAAATATTTAAACATATTTTTTTTCATCAAAGAAATTAAAATGTCTATTTTTCCCTCTATGGAGGTTGAATTGTGTAACATGAGTTCACCTTTGCACTGAACAGAGGACCTCAATGCACCAGAAAATGTTGATTATGGGAATGGTAAGATGTTAATTTTAAAATTTAGGTTTTGCAGTTCAATGGATATAGTATTGCACTATCAACTCTTAAGTAAAAGATTTCATTCATCAAAATTGAGAGGGTTGGGTACCGGACCATCTTGGGGGTTTTTGTTGTTTTGGCTTTTTGAAAAATGTGTAGGAGGATCTCTAATGATTTTTGAATAAGCTGTGGGATTTCCTTTGGAAAGTTGCAGAAGTATTCCTGAATGAGCTACATAAAGTATATAACCCTTTTGAAAGTATATAACCCTTTTAAAGCAATCTATGTAACAACCCAGATTCAGGGTGGATAAAGAAGTCAAACTAGATAATCATGGAATATATAGGGTGATTTACCTCTGGAGAGTGATGTTGATAATTTTTCAATTAAAACAGCAAAGATAAATTTTTTTCTCTGTTCTTACAAATTAGAACCTATAAAGTGTCAAAGTATGTGTCTGATTTTTTATCTCTGTAAGTTTAATGTCAAGTCATCCAAGTAATATTCAGACTTACTGGTTCTTGGAAGATGAGGGCTTTACTGTTACCTTTAAAATTTGCCTACATAATGTTTGAAATCTTCATTGTAAAAGAAAACAAATCACATAAAGCGTATGTGTAGGTAATTATAAGGTGAACATTTCCCTTTAAAAACTCAGACTATTCTAAATTTTCTTGTCTTACCCAAATTCTTTGGTATTTTGATATTTAATTTGTAAGTACGTGTTGTGGGTATAATGAAACACTTGACTTCATGATAGAAACATTCAAACTTAGCGAGCATTTAGAGATGATTATATAATAAACTTAAGTAGGTGTTTAAATATATTTCTGTGTTAAAAATAGTAGTTAACTGATTTCCCTACCATGTGCCAGGTGCTATTCTAATCATTTATACATGATAGTAATTTAGTTAATTCTCACAGTTGCTAGGGTGGTGGTTCTTAGTCTGTTTTTAAAGCTTTATTCACTGCATGAGCATAGGTGATTTATAGTATTAGAAATAAGATTCTCTGCTATAAAATGTGTTCCCATTCCTATAACTTTAATATCAATACCTGCAGTCCAAATGTAGCATTTCATCTATATTACCTCTATGGATCAATTGATGATATATGTACCATTAATTAAAGTTGTAAGCATCAATGTCAAATAGAAATATAGTGTTTGCTATACATGTAATCCTAACAATTTTAATAGCCTAAAAAATGAAATTAATTATAATAACATTTAAAGTATTTTAATATGCCTAAATATTATAACATTAATATAAAAACTACAGATCCATTTTACCTTTTTGGATATTTTGTACCAAGACTTTGAAATCTGGTATGGGCCTTACACTTATTAGCACATTCTAGGACTACCCATGTTTTAAGTGCTCAGTAGCTCCATATGATTAGGGGCTATATACTCAACAATGCAGTTTTAGAGCCTTTTCCATTATGAAGGAATGTACTTCTAAAAAAAAGTAATATAATTTGATATTTGAATCCTGGATCTAATATGTGTTCATGGAAAGGATAATAACTCTTAATTGAGTCTAGCGCGTAGTAGATGAAAGTAAAATCTTGGAATATTCTTCTCAAACCCAAAGTCCTGGAATGTGCCTTTGCATTTTCATTTAGTAAATAAAAGAATTGTTGCTGTTCATTTATTTCAGCTTTCTCCATGTAATACTCAACTTTGCAATATTTTCAAGTAATTGGCTTTTGGGGACTAAATTAAACGATATTTAGAATTTTAGAGTATAAATTTATATGTAAAACTCTTTGTCCAAAGGAAATACACATTGCATTGTAACTTAAAATAAGCATTCTTGTGAATTTTTAGAAAAAGATTTGTAAAAATATCGAATAGGATTTTATTTATAACACACGTGATTATTTTGATTAAGGGATAGTGTGGAAGAAAGCATTTTTAATTACAACAGAGTTTTAAATTTTACTACCAGTTTTAAAATGTTTTAAATTTGCACTTTAATGATGTGACATTCTACTCCTTACAGTAACTTATATGAGCTAATTGGGCACACTGCATTTAGGTAAAATTCATTAAGCAAAGGAAATGTGAAGTGTGAATAATGACTCCCTTGCTATAGATTATAGCAGAATAGTGAAGGACTGATACTGCCTTGAATAAAATATGCATTTATTCCAGCTTAATAGCATTTGAGATTCCATAATTTCATTTCATAATTGATAGATTTTAAGATTGCACTGGGAATTGATCCCTAAATTAAATGAATTATCACAATTAGTAACTTAATTGATATGCTTGAGATGTTTGAGTGAATGTGATCTGTGTAAGGGTTGGTGACATTTCTTTTATCTATTATTCATTGGCTTCACTCAAATACATTTTACATCTTTTCAGGTTTGAAAATCAGTCATTGGAAAAATTGTAATTGAGATTTGATTTATCATGTTTTTGTGGAAAAAAAAATCCAGCCCAAGTAAAGAAAAAGAAGTGTTTTATAATTAAGAAAACCATTATTTTAATTAAGTACTAACTTAAAATTTTAGAGTCTGCCCCAAATTCTCCAAGAATTGGAAATCCACTGAACCCAAAGAAAAATACTGAAACAAGTAATCTTCAAGCAATGTCTAGAGGTTTGTCTACCAGTTTGCCTGACTTGGATTCAGAACCTTGGATAGAAGTTAAAAAGAGACATCGTCCATCTCCAGTGAAATTGAAGGTAAATTGTTATAAACCCAAGTGAAGTGTAGTACATTCCTGGGTTGATTGTAAGGCCAGTATATTTTGTTTGTCAAGTAAATATGTAAAATTTGGCAAAGTTTAAAAAATTGTAAAATTTGGCTATAAGTAAAAACTTAAGGCTTACTCAGTAGTTGAAAATAAGTTATATTGTGTCCATTTTAAAAACTTGGCTTCTCTTTCTAAATATGATTAAGAATATTTTGATGTGGTCTTTTAACTTGTGACTGAATTTGAATAATTTTTTTAAAACTGACAGAATTTTTCTAAACTGTGAATTTATATTTTATCCTCATTAGATTATTTGTGACCTGTAATTATTTATAAAGGGTACAGATTAGGTATGTATGTGTTTTTGGTGATTTTGTGTACAGTAAGAAAGGAAAAGAGAATTGATTTCTTCAGGCACATGAGGGAGTGGGATGTGTGGTTATGAAACAGCAGAAGAGATCCTTGATGTTAGAAGTGCTACTATAGTTTTGACTCATGGTTGGATACAAAAAATTTCAACTGTGATAAAAATTGCTCTAATCTAAGCCATAAATAAAATGAGTACAAATAAAGCTGGGGAAATCTGAGTAAGATTAATAGGTTATTTCAGTGTGTATCTTGTTTGTGATATTTTGCTATACTTTTCACAAGATGTTACTATTGGGAGAAACTAATAAAAAAAATACATAAGATTTCTTGTAACTGTATGTGAATGTATAATTATCTCAAATGTTACTCAAATGATTCAAATATTGAAGGTAAGTTCTGTAAGGAGAAGGTCATTAAAAATAATAGGACCTAGAATGGTGAAGGATAAAGAAGGCTATCGTATTGAAGATTATTATGAGCAAGGCTCTTTATCCTTACCATCAAGGTATGAAGAAGCATGAAGGGATTAAAGAGTGGTTCTCCATTGGGGGAATGAGGGAGTGATGAAATTTTGTTTCATCGGGATATTTGGCAATGTCTGGAGACATTTTTGGTTAAAATTGGGAGACTGCTATTACACTACTACATCTTGTGAGTGGAAGCTAAAGATGTTGCTAAACATCCTACAGTGCAACCCCCTCCCCCCCAAAAAAAACAAAGAATTCTCAAGCCTAACATGTCAATAGTGTTGAGTTTGAAAAACCCTCATCAAGAGTTAACTTTTTAATTAGCCGTGGGGGTTAAACATAGCATATTTAAATGTTGAAAGAGGTGGTTCTGCCCCCACCCGCCTCAGGGGACATCTTAAAAATCTAAAGCAGTGCTCGCTTTAGCAGCACATATATTAAAAACCTAAAGTGGCTTTCTAGGGGTGCCTGGGTGGCTCAGTTGGTTTAGCATCCAACTCTTGGTTTTGACTCAGGGTGGCAAGACCCAGCCCCATATGGGGATCTGTGTTCAGCACAGAGTCTGCTTGAGATTATCTCTGCTTCCCTCTCACTCCTTCTCTGCTTCTCCCCCAGATTGTGTGCTTGCACATGCTTGCTCACTCTCTAAAAAATAAATAAATATCTTTAAAAAAAATTTCTAAACCTGCCTTCTCAAGACAAGATTTTCTAAAGTTCCTGATTAATTTCTATATTTATCATGGCAGATAACATCCCTGTACAGGTAGGGTAGATAAGGATAGTCTCTTGAAAACACACAGACAGACAGACACACACACACACACACCCACACACACACACAAAACAAAACCACACAAAAGGATAGTGTCCTGGATCATTGACAAAGATTTGTGTAGTATTTTATTTATTCTAAGGTCTAAATTTTTTCTTGCACTTTAAAATATCTCCACATTTCAGTATTTCTTTTAAAATAATGGTTCTTCCCTTGTATGCTGTTGGTGGGGAGGTAAACTGATAACAGCCACTGTGGGAGATAGTACAGAGTTTCCTTGAAAATTTAAAAATAGAAATGATCATATGATCTGATAATTCCACTAGTGAATATTTATCCAAAGAAAATGAAAATACTAATTCAAAAAGATATGCACTTCTATGTCTGTTGAAGTATTATTTACAATAGTCAAGATGTGGGAGCAACCAAGATGTTGTATACTCATACAGTGGAATATTGCCCATAAAACAGGATGAGATTGTGCCATATGTGACAACATGGGTCGGACTAAAGGTTATTATGCTAAGTGAAATAAGTCAGAATTAAAAAGGCAAGTACTATAGGATTTCACTGATGTGGAATCTAAAAAAGCAAATGAGTAAACAACAACAAAAAAGGCCTGTAAATACAGAGAAAAAAACTAGTGGTTGCCAGAAGGAAGGGGGGCTGGGAGTAAGACAAAAGTGGGTGAAGGGGGAGGGAGATACAGGCTTCCAGTTACGCAATGAATAAATCACAGTAATAAAAAGCACAGCATGGAGAATATAGCCAGTGATATTGTAATAGCATTGTATGGTGACAGATGGTTGCTACACTTGGGAGCATAGCATAACATAAAACTTTAATGGATATGTTGTACACCTGAAACTAATGCAATGTTGTGTGTCAACTATACCCAAATAAAAAAAATTTTTTTTTGCCTTATAGGAACTGGCACGTTTCTTATACGTGCCAGAAACTACTGCAAAGACTAGTTAGAGAGGTGCCAAGCAACTTAAAACTCTCTAAAATGGATTTGTTTTTCTTAAAGGGGCTTAAATTCAGAAAATATGCTAATGAATAAAGCAAAATTTTGCTAATTTTAAAAAATAAAATAAAAATAATGGTTCCTGTTAAAATCAATGGCATCTTTATGAGTTGGTTTAAAAAAAGAAATTTTTGGAAGGGTAAGTACTAGATTCTGATGTACAGGGCCAGCAAGTTGGTAATGGAATCTGGTTTTAATAGTGGAAAAAGAATGGTGTAAAATCTAGGGCCTTCAGTTTTATGGCCAAAGAATCTTGGTGCCATTAGTAAGATCTGAAATGTATTCTGATATTACAGAGTGAGGATCTGGCTTGGAGGAAAGCTGACTGTAGGTTCTGGGGGCCTAGATATTTCAGTGATACCTCCTGAGGTAGGTTACTTAATGACAACATTACCAACATACTTTTTAAAAAAATGATCTTTTAAAAATATACATTCTAGAGTGGGTATGGCTTGTTCAGAGATAAATTTCTTTAGAAATCTAAAAGCATTTTTTCCACTGTCATTTTGGTCCGTTTTTTTCCTTACGAAATTTACTCCCTTTAGATTTTTTGCATCAAGTGATTTTGTTTTTGTTGAGGTTTTAAGATTATTTCTTAATCCCCACCATTGAAATTTCAGATGATATACTCTGGAGTTGGTCTGCTTTTATTTACTGTGCTGTGTATTCATGTCCATTATTTTGGGAAAATTCATGTTTCTCTTTTTTTTCAACTTCTGGTATTCCTTTTTATCAAATGTTGGGCCCCCTGGGGCCCTCTGAATTGATCATCTAGCTACTATTTTTTCTGGAATTGGGGATTTAAAAAAGATTATGTTTCTGTTATTTCCATCAGTTTTTTTTTTTTTTAAGTCCTTCTCTTTTAGGGTGATGATTATTTCTTAAATGTGATCTTTAGTTGATGGTTTATGTTAGTTATTGATAAGTTGGTATAGATTTCTTTTGTGGCCTTGTAGATCTGCTCATCCAGAAAGACTTTCTCCTGAACGTGAGGTATGATTCTGCACACTCTTGGTTAAGTGTAAGGGTCCTACTAGACTTTTAGACCTTGACAGAGGATAGTCGTGCTAGTTCTGGGTCTTCAGAGTTGATAAAATCAGTACTTTTCTCTGGGAAGTAGAGTTTCTTAGTATACTTTATTCATTGGCAAAATTACCTTCTCTTTCTTCCCCCAGCTTTTTTTTTTTTTTTAATCGTTAGAAGTTTAGAATAATAATAATACTGGGATATGTTCATCCTCTGTCCAGCTCCATGGACATGGGCCCTCTCTTGGCAAATCTTTCATTTTGTTAGAAAGCAATTCTTGGGCTTTAAGTTGGGAACAGATATTATAGCTTCATATTCTAAGGTAAGAGTGTGGGATTGACTGTTCTATCTGTATCCTGTAGTTTGTTTCCCAAATACCCCTTTTAATGGCTGTCACATAGTCCATTCCTGCTCATCGTGCTTACCGTCTCAAAACTTTTTAGGATGCCAGTGGAACCAGTGGTTAGTCTTTATATAGGTTCTAGGTTGCTGTTTCCTCTAGTCTTGTTTATTATCGATACAATCCCATTTGCTTTCTGCTTTCCAGAAAGTCAGAACAATTTCTGATTCTCTGGTAGTATACTTGTTTTCATATTGGCATGAATTAATTTTTTTCATTACTGCAAATCATTACTATGTTCAGTCAAGTCCTCTTCAACCCCAAATCTCTTCTCTCTTCCTTACAAATTAAAAAATTTTATGTTGAAAACAAAGTTAAATATAACTGACATAAAGTAAAAAGTAAGAGACTCTCTCCTGGTTTTACCATTATTAACAGTTTGGTGTTTATTCTCGGACTTTTTTCATGTACTTGCAGATGTGAATAATGTATATAGTTTTCATTTTTAAATATATTCACACTGTGTTAAAACTTATTTTTATTTACTTTTTTAGTAAAAACATCATGGAATGCCTTCTATTTAGTAGAATTTTAGCTGTGTCCGGACAGAGTTATTATTATTGTATATCCTTTCCTTGAACAGTGCCTGGCTCACAGTGAGGACCCAGATTAATTATTGATTGAATAAATATGTACTACATTAATAGGAATTCTGAGAGAGAGGGATTTTTTTATTCTAGGCAGAGGAGAGTTAGCATTTACTGAATGATAAGGATTGGTCAAAGGGTGACATTGGAAAATGACATTGACACAGTCTATTGTGTTGAGAGTTTTGGAAATCTAGACTAAGTTAGATTTTGGAAGATCTAGGATCTAAAGTTTTGTACTTGTTATGTCACCCAATAGGAAGCACTCCTAATTTTTTTTTTCAGGGAGGGCAAAGTTCAATAGTTTAGTGCATGTTAGGGTAAATTTAATAAGAAAACCTGGCCATAGTGAGTGAGGGTGAAGAATGAACAGAGGGATTAGCTAGGAAACCTAGCTAATGGCATTAATATTGCAAGGATTCAGACTAGGAAGATCACTGATTTTGGAAGTCAGAAAACCTTGATTGTTCTAGTCTTGATGAATTCTGAAATTCTGGACAAATTAACTTCATATCTCTAAGCCTTTTTTTCCCCTCATCTGTAAAATGAGTTGCTATTCTATAATGGATGAGCTGGGCACCACTATTACTCTAAAGAAGTCTTTAACCCTCCTTTTACTCAATTTTGTGTTTTTGTTTAGCATTAAACTTAGTGTTTAGCAAATTCATCTATTTATTGGGCCAGAATAATACTAGCTTGATTTTCTTTTATAATTTGCTTGCTAACTAGTTGCTGAGCATACAGGCTTCATATCACTAACTTGTAACAATATTATGTGATTTTTATTTTTTAAATGATACAAAAGTTTGTATATGAAATACCATTTTCTTCCTTCAGGAATCATCATCTCTACCTGGAGAGGCATCAAATCAGCTGTATCCTTCAGATGAACAAGAGCAAGAAGAACTTGATTTTTTATTTGATGAAGAGATAGAACAAATAGAAGGGCGAAAAAACACATTTACTGATTGGTCTGATAATGATTCAGATTATGAAATTGATGACCAGGATTTAAACAAGATTTTGATTGTAACTCAGACACCTCCTTACATGAGAAAACATCCTGGAGGAGATCGAACTGGCAACCACATGTCGCGGGCAAAAATTACATCTGAACTTGCTAAAGTAATTAATGATGGCTTATATTACTATGAACAGGATCTATGGATGGAGGAAGATGAAAACAAACACACAGCCATAAAGGTAATATTTTCTGGCTAACATTTCTGCTGATACTATTTTTTTAGTATATGTTGCTCCTTGTATTTTCTTAAACTTGAGGCTTTATTTTATTAAATTTGGTATAAATAAATTTAATTTTGAAAAATTCCCAGAAAATGTCTGATATTAACAACCTGAGAAATAATTTTATTAAAATGACAATGCAATGAATAATTACAAAAAATTAGCACTCATTTACTAAAACCCTTTTTCCGGTGAAAATAATAAGGAGGCTCTTTCTAAGAGGAAGAAAAAAACCTGACGTTACGGACAAGCTTAGTTTATATGCTCATTCCTTACCCTGGCCTATAATCACCCCAGCTAAATGAGTAGGGCTTTAGAGAAGGGTGGCTTTTGTTGCTCCATTCCATTGTTCTCTCAGTCTGTGGTGCATGCTTTTATGGTAGTAGAACTGGTTGTGGACAAGGATAGAAGATTAAAATGGCTGATTGTCTTTCCTTATATAATCATTGTTGTGGTACTAGGGGTGCTCTTTGAAACCTTGTTCCAATTTTTTATCTTCTTGAATTTCACCCCACATCTGATACCTATCCTAGTTATTATTAAGGTAAAATATGAGAGAACCAGAGTGATCTACTGGCTATCTGCATTCCTTTGAGAGGAATTTTAATGGTAAAGATAGGGATTAAAGGGATCTTTTTCTGCCATAAAAAAAGTTACATGTTGTTTTTGAATAGAATAATGAGGGAAAAGTTGCATAACTATACTATGCCAAATAGGAGAATGATCTTGGTCAGAAATATTTATAGTTGTAGGAAGAAAAGTCTGCCAGCTAGTGACTGAATAGAAGGGACTAGCTGTCCATGGAGGTTCGTATCATTAACAAGAAGTGTACTCTCCTTCTTGGCTCTTCATTTCTTTTTCTTTCTGGTATTTCCATCAGTGTATTCAACCCCTTACCTTCTCTAGCCATTGCCTTTTTGGAGATCATGCATCAGGTTATTGTAGCTTATCTGTGACTTAAGAGCCTCTCTGTCCTACTGTGGAAAGGAAGTGTGTTTTTATAGTTTCAAGGTTTAAAATCTTTCCTTGTCTAAGCTTTGTTACTTTGTTTGTGATACTTAGGTTCTATAAGTAATTTCTACCTTAAATCCTTTTGAAACAGAAAGAGCTAGAAATAAATTTAATTAATAATAGGTTAAAATTACACTCCTTCCATTTCATGTCTCTTTTCCCTGCTTTGTTCTTCACCATCTACCATTCTGTATATTGCACTTCTTTTCTGTTTTGATCACATGGATATAATATCTATGAAGATAGTAATTTTTGCCTAATTTTGTACGCTACTGTATCTCTACTGCTATAACAGTTCCTGGCACATAGTAGTGTTCAATTCATATTTGTTAAATGGATAAATGAATTATGGATTAAACATTATGAACTAACCAAAGAAAAGTTAACCACTTTATATAATATTGCTTCTATGGGGAAATTTTTTGAGTTCCAAAAAATGAACTTTCAGGTCATCTTGAGAAACATATTTGTAGGTGATTATTTGCTTTAATTAAAATGTAGACAACAATAAGGAAAGCCATGAATTGAGTTAATTAAAAACCAGCATCTGGGGGTGCCTGCGTGGCTCAGTGGGTTAAAGCCTCTGCCTTTGGCTCAGGGCATGATACCAGGGTCTTGGGATCGAGCCCCGTATCAGGCTCTCTGCTCAGCAGGGAGCCTGCTTCCTCCTCTTTTTCTGCCTGCCTCTCTGCCTACTTGTGATCTCTGTCTGTCAAATAAATAAATAAAATCTTAAAAAAAAAACCCAAAACACAAAAAACCAGCATCTGCCCACTTAACCATGAAGTATTAGGGTAAAGTAATCTTTGCTATATGACTCTTAACCATATGGTCTGTTCATAAGTTGTTGTATTTTAACCTGATCCATATGTACATTCTTATCACCTGACTTATTTCCCTTGTTTCTAATTCTGTGCTCAACATGTAATTTCTGATTAGAATTGTACTTTTCCTGTGGGTCTGCTTAAAGGGAAAGGAAACAATGATTTAAAGTACATTTGTTAAACTCCTACTGTGAGCCAGACACTGTGCTAGGTCCTGGACATGGAATGGGAAGATAACAATAGGGTCTCTGCCTGCCTGGTTCTTACAAATAATTGGGAGGACAAACATTAAAATAAACCCACAATAAATACTTAATCACAAATCACAAATTATAATGTGCTAAAGGAAAGGAACAGGATGCTACTGGGTTGGGTTGTCAGGGAATGAATGCCTGTGAGGAAAGTTACAGTTATAGTGTTATCTGAAATATGAGGAAAATTAAACCCTGCAAAGACCAGGTAAACCATATTCTAGGAAGAAGAAACAACAAGTGGCAAGGATCTGAGGAAGAAAGAATTTGGTGTATTTTAAGAACTGAAAAACAGGTCCATTTGTTTATAGTATTATATAAGAGGACAGTTATGGCAGTATATAGGCCGAAGTCTAATCATACATTGTTTTGTGGGCTATGTTAAATAGTCTGGAATTTATCTAAAGTTCAAATAAAGTACCTTGGAGGTTTTACACAAGCAAAAGGGCTAAATCTAATTTTTATTTTTATTTTTATTTATTTATTTATATTTTTTAAGATGTTATTTTGAAGAGTGAGCAGGGTGAGGAGCAGAGGAGGGAGGGAAAGAGAATCTCCAGCAGACTCTGTGCTGAGTGTGGAGCCAGACATGGGGCTCGATCTCATGACCCTGAAATCATGACTTGAGCCAAAACCAAGAGTCAGATGCTTAACCAACTGAGCCACCCTAATTTTTGCTTTTAAAATATAACTCTGGTTATTATGGTGGAGAATGGATTAGGTAGGTACAAGAGTGGCAGAAGAAATCCACTTGGAAAGCTATTAAAGTAGTCTAGGAGATGGGTATTGATAATTAGGTAACTTGGTAGCAGAGGAAATGTTGAAATAAGAAAACCCAGATCTGAGCCCTGAGGAATCATCATTTATGAGTTGTAATAAGAAGTGGTGCAGTAGAAGCCCAAAACCAACTTCAAGAGGAACTGGACAGATTGAGTTAGGTATAAATGAAAAAAATGCCAAATTGATAGGGTAGTTTAATTATCTTTTGTGACTTTGCGAAAAAGGATTTTTTGCTGGATCCAGAAGTTATATTGAACTGCACTAGACTGAGTATATAGGCTTTCTGTTTCTCCCATGGTCTTAATGTTGAAAACAACTCAAATGGCCTTTTAGTAGATGAGAAAATATCTTAAAATCCTGAAGATTGGCAAAGTAAGTTATTACCAGAATAAAACCAAAAGAAGTGTGGAGTATTGAACCCAATGTTGCCCTGGAGACCATTGGAATTTGAGGAATACAGTGTTCCAAAAGCCCCCTAAAATAAAAGGGAAGAAGACAAAACTAGAGCTCAGCAAAGTTGGGGATTCTAGGAAGTTGTCTATTAAATTGGCACCTAAAAGAAATACAGTGAAAGAGAACTTGCTTTCTTACCTACTGCTCTAGAGGACTACAAAGAAATTTCCCTAGTTGTGCTGAATAGACTAAGAAGAAAAAAAAAATGGCTTAGAATTTATAATCATGCAACTTAAATTGCTAGCATCTAGATACGTAACCACTAGTCATAAATTTAAAGTGATCATGACCTGTTAACTTCTCAGAAACCTAGCAGAAGCCAACATAGCTCCTTTTTGAGGACATTCACTTTTAATCTAGACCTTGAATAATTTACTCAAATTTTCTTAAAAGGAATGTGAGTAACTCACAGAATTAATAATCAAACAAGGAAATGTGCTACCACATGTGAGAATGAGCAAAACCATACCCTAAAATAGTTTAGATAATGGAATTACTAAACAGAATGTGGAGTAACTGTTAACTGTGTTTAAAGAAATAATTTGTGCAGGGAAGAAGACTAAACAGCAACAGTCCTCTAATTTTTGCAAGTAAAAATAATTACAGTTAAAATTAACACAATCAATTAAGGGGATTAACAGTAGATTAGATAAAATTAGAGAATCAGTAAATTGGAAGAGTTTACAAGAAACTACTCAGAAATCAGCACAGAGAGGCAAAGAGAATATTTTATGAAAGTATATGTAACGATGTTCTGAAGAGTCTTTGCTATTATTTACTACATTTCAAATCAAGTTGTAGAATTAACATCTGGATTTTATTTTATAGCTTTTCATTTCTGAAAAGTTTAAAAAAGCAGGAAATGTGGAATACTGAGTGATAAAAATGGCCTAAAATAGACATTTAATAAGAATTTCAGAAGGAAAGGTTAGGAAAAATGGGGCAAAATCATTATTTTAAGAGGTAATAGCTGGGACTTTTTCTGAATTGAGGAGAGGGATCAGAGTAGAGCAGCCAGGGGAAAAAAGGCAGATTACATTTAAAGGTAAGTGAGTGAACAGCTGACTTTCCAACAGTAAACAGTTAACTGCAACAGACACTGGAGTGGTAGTATTACTATACTAAGGGAAAGTAACTGTCAATCTATAATTGTATGCCTTGCAAAAGTGTAAAAGGGTGAAATATAATGAGAGAAATTGTAACTTAGGAAAGCCTCATTAAAGGAAATTGCAGAGGTGAAATAAATGATTTCTGATGCCAAGTATATAGAAAGGACTGCAGAGCAAAGTGAGAAAGGTGTGAATAAATCTAAATATTAACTGTATAAAATAGTGTCTTACGGATTAAACATAACAACACAAACTTGGAGAGAGCAATTAAATTAATATTTAGGGTACTTTTGTATCTAGAGAAAAGATACTGATTAGTTTTTAAAGTTTTTATGTTGCAATGTGAAGGATACCCATTCAGAAATAAAATTAGAGTAAATAACTGTGAAACTGGAAGGAAGGAAAATGTAGAATAAGAAAGGGGCTCCCAGCACAAAGATAAAGTGGTAGGTTTGTTTGTTTGTTTGTTTATCTATCTATCTATCTATCTACCTATCTGAGAAAGAGTGTGGGAGCAGCAAGCTGGGGGA